TGAAATCGCCCATGTCACTCAGCGCCAAGAAGCCGAAGCTAAACTCCCGGTACGTTTCAATGTTTCACACACCATTAAGTTAATGCCACCTTTTGTAGACACTGAGGTAGATGCATTCTTTGCCTCATTTGAGGCTCTAGCTAATCAACTCAGCTGGCCTCAGGATCAGTTGTCTATATTTCTCAGATCCCATTTGACTGGTAGAGCTGCCTTGACCCTCAGTTCTCTGGCTACAGAGACAGACTACAATGTGTTGAAACAGGCAGTGCTTGATGCCTACCTCCTATCCGTAGAGAGTTACAGACGTAAATTTTGGGATTACATCAAATCTAGTGCATCTACTTACCTAGAATTCGCCCAAAATAAGACAAGATATCTAATGAAGTGGCTGGAATCAACCCAAATCACCACCTTCACAGATTTCCTCAACCTCATCTTGATGGAAGAATTCCTTCGTCGTGTTCCTACTCCTACACGTTTCTACCTTTCAGATAATGGAGAGACCAACCTTACTAAGTGTGTGCAGTTGGCTGACACCTACAGCCTAATTCACCGATCGCATCAGACACACCTCCTGGTAAATCTTCTTGGTCCATCCTGCAAGACTAGTGATGTGAACTACTCACAGTGCATGGACTCCTGGTAAACCGTCTTGGTCCAGTCCTGCTAAAGTGAGTACTAGTGATGTGAACTACTCGCTTTATTGCAGGTACTGTAAAGTGAATGGGTACACCATTGAAAAGTGTACCAATCCTCACTGAAAGTCCAGCAGTGAGTTCCACAAGCCCAAACCACCTTCTAAAACTCATAAGCCTGTAATGAATATTCATATTCCATCCTCTGATCTTTCTCTCTTCCACAGACACCTATACCTAAGAACTATCTCTGCCAGCAATGGGGGATTCGGAGGGAAGGATCCAAGTGAACATCTTGAGGGACACAGCACTCTACAATCGATAGTCCTTAAAGTAGCTGCACCCAACGTCGCCTACACTGGAGAAACCGTCCTCATCACTGACCTCACTGCAACCACTCCATACCCACTCGCCAGAGTCCACCTGGATTGTTCGTTCGTTCGTGGTGAAGTCCAAGTCGCCATCAGGGAGAAACCTTTCCCCATGCCAGGAGTTCAACTTCTCCTGGGCAACGACTTGGCAGAAGATCAAGAACCCACGAACCTCATCATCAGAGACAAACCACAGGTATGTGACTCTTCCATGGAAAATCCTGTTATGAAATACGTTGCAGAGGAGGTCCAACCGACCAACGATTCTGAGGACATCTCCCAGCCAGTCATGGTGACGACACGTGCCCAAGCTGCTCGACTGCAACCAGCCGCTCCAGCTGTCCCTCAAGATTCTCAGGGCCTCCCACTGAATCTCAACCTGTTGGAGTTCCGTAAGATGCAAAGAGAAGATCAATCCCTAACATCTTTATTCTTTCAGGCCCAGACACAAACAGATACTATCCCTGGTTTTTTCGTGGATAACCATATACTCTACCGCAGATATAGACCCAGTAAGTTAAAGGAGGACGACAATTGGGCTAACGTCGACCAGCTGGTAGTCCCTACCAGCCTACGGCCAGAGATCATGCATCTGGCCCATGGCCCTCTCTCACAACAAGACGTACAACGTCCTGAAGCAGGACTACTACTGGCCAGGTATGGTTCGTGACGTCAAGACCTTTGTGAATACATGCCACACATGTCAGACAGCAGGTAAGCCAAACGCTCCTATACCCAAAGCACCACTGATTCTAATCACAGTGCCATTGGAACCGTTCAGTAATCTCATTATCAACAATGTCGGGCTTCTGCCCAGGACAAGCTCAGGTAACATACATATCAATAATATCCTGTGTCCTACCACCAGGTTCCCTATAGCAGTTTCCGTCAGGAGCAGTACAGCTGCTAACGTTGTGAAGCACCTCGTGAAACAGTGCGGACATCCCCAGGAGAGTCAGAGCAGTTGTCTTACCATCTTCTACCAACGACCTGTGCAAGAAAACCAACCTCTCCCAGGTATTGTCTGGCCCTTGTTATTGTACTTCTCCTGACTGCAATGGTTCCAACTCCTTGATTTCTACTTCCGAAATCAGGAAAGATCTTCATACCTACAAACCAAATCCAAATAAGTGTGCTCCTCTCGACAACTTTACCAGCCTTCGACCCAAATACCTTAAAACCTCATCACACTCCATTTCATCTGAACGGCTAAAGCCATAATCTTGTACTAATTCCATTCTTGCCTCGCTAGGTGTTAGGAAACCCTTTGTCTTCCATGTCGACGCCGGCAACACTGGTGCTAGAAAACGTCATGACACCGCAGTGAGATAGGGTCATGCCATTAGTTATAAAGGAGCCACTCTACAGCCCACCCAGCATGCAACACAACGAACCATCCAATCTACAAGGTTACCATCTCATCAACATCTTTTCGGACCACAATCCCCTTCGGTCCATGCAGCAGGCCTAGTTCTCCAACCAACCCGTACTTCGCTGGGTCCTGCAGCACCACATCATCAACATCTCCTCGTATCACAATCTCCTTCGGTTCCTGCAGCAGGCCCAGTTCTCGAACCAGCGCTTGCTTCGCTGGGCCTTGCACCTGGCGAACCATCTCCTCAAGATCTCCTCAGATCACCATTCCCTTCGATCCATTCAGCCAGATCAGTTCTCCAACCAACTCACACTTCATTGAGCCCTGCAACATTACATCCTCAACATCTTTCTTATCAACATCTCAGATGACGTCGTCTCAAATGACACACTCTCCCGAGTCCACGAGGTGGAACCTCCCACTTCAACTCTCCACTCTGCACCAGCATCACAGGCGATAGGAGCAGGCTTCAGGGAGGAGCTGTTATGGTAATCTCCTGCCTAGCAGTAGATTCTGCCTATTCCATTACCATATGTTCCTGCCTAAGTGTAGATTCTGCCTGTTCCTTTACCGCATGTTCCTGCCTGTTCTCTTTACCGCCTATTCACCAACGTATCTACATGCTTCAACATCAATGACAACAACAATATATGCTCACAAGTATCGTCTAGACACACCTACCCCATCCACCCTCCAGTATCAAAGACCTCACCACACCTGCTGTCTCGGCAGGGGACCAGACGCCACCACACCTGCTGTCTCGGCAGGGGACCAGACGCCACCACATCTGCTGTCTCGGCAGGGGACCAGACACCACCACACCTGCTGTCTCGGCAGGGGACCAGACACCACCACACCTGCTGTCTCGGCAGGGGACCAGACACCACCACACCTGCTGTCTCGGCAGGGGACCAGACGCCACCACACCTGCTGTCTCGGCAGGGGACCAGACGCCACCACACCTGCTGTCTCGGCAGGGGACCAGACGCCACCACACCTGCTGTCTCGGCAGGGGACCAGACACCACCACACCTGCTGTCTCGGCAGGGGACCAGACGCCACCACACACACCTGCTGTCTCGGCAGGGGACCAGACGCCACCACACCTGCTGTCTCGGCAGGGGACCAGACGCCACCACACCTGCTGTCTCGGCAGGGGACCAGACGCCACCACACCTGCTGTCTCGGCAGGGGACCAGACGCCACCACACCTGCTGTCTCGGCAGGGGACCAGACGCCACCACACCTGCTGTCTCGGCAGGGGACCAGACGCCACCCGCTAATGACCGTTCTTCTGACGGCCGATAGTTATACCTACAGAATTCGTACCAGTTATGATGTCATGCCCTGAATAAAAGGGCTTGCCAGCATCTAGCTCAAAAGATTACCCTTCAAGTGCTCTCACCTGGAACATCTACTCTCGCTCCCCCGGGTGAAAGTAGACCTGTACAGATTTTGTACAAAGAATTACTTGCACCCTTGTTATTAACGTAAATTTCACTTGTATATTTCTCTTTTTGATCTTGTGTAAAGCCAAGTGACTATGGGTTTTGTTTTCATTATTACTTATTATTTCGGTGTAATATTAAAGTCATTTTTGTTATATTTTGAAGTTTTTATTCTCTTTGTTTTTTTACTGGCAGCTCTCACACTGTAGAAGACCCAAGCAGTCTTGTAAGCTTTGTTTTTTCTTTTTTTATTTAATGTGCGATGGGCATAACACCTGCCCGAATAGCCACTGCTCTATTCCAGATTCTTGTCACAACTGACTCACACGGTGGGGTGCAGGCACTGTGTTTACTGACTCACTGGGTGGGTACAGGCACTGTGTTTATTGACTCACTAGGGTGGGCGCAGGCACTGTGTTTACTGACTCACGCGGTGGGTGCAGGCACTGTGTTTACTGACTCACACGATGGGTGCAGGCACTGTGTTAACTGACTCACTGGGTGGGTGCAGGCACTGTGTTTACTGACTCACTGGGTGGGTGCAGGCACTGTGTTTACTGACTCACTGGGTGGGTGCAGGCACTGTGTTTATTGACTCACTAGGGTGGGTGCAGGCACTGTGTTTACTGACTCACACGGTGGGTGCAGGCACTGTGTTTACTGACTCACACGGTGGGTGCAGGCACTGTGTTTACTGACTCACACGGTGGGTGCAGGCACTGTGTTTACTGACTCACTGGGTGGGTACAGGCACTGTGTTTATTGACTCACTAGGGTGGGCGCAGGCACTGTGTTTACTGACTCACACGGTGGGTGCAGGCACTGTGTTTACTGACTCACACGGTGGGTGCACGCAAAGTGTTTACTGACTCACACGGTGGGTGCACGCACTATGTTTACTGACTCACACGGTGGGTGCAGGCACTGTGTTTACTGACTCACTGGGTGGGTGCAGGCACTGTGTTTACTGACTCACTGGGTGGGTGCAGGCACTGTGTTTACTGACTCACTGGGTGGGTGCAGGCACTGTGTTTACTGACTCACACGGTGGGTGCAGGCACTGTGTTTACTGACTCACACGGTGGGTGCACGCACTATGTTTACTGACTCACACGGTGGGTGCAGGCACTGTGTTTACAGGCACTAGCACACAATGCTGTAGGCGTCTCACCTTGCTCCCGGGCCGGGCTTGGTGACACATCTGTGGGGGAAATTAACATTTATGTAGTGACATGTTAATGGGGGGAGGGTTGGGAGTGTAATGGGGGAGGGTTGGGAGTATAATGGGGGAGGGTTGGGAGTATAATGGGGGAGGGTTGGGAGTATAATGGGGGAGGGTTGGGAGTGTAATGGGGAGGGTTGGGAGTGTAATGGGGGAGGGAGTGTAATGGGGGAGAGTTGGGAGTGTAATGGGGAAGGGTTGGGAGTGTAATGGGGGAGAGTTGGGAGTGTAATGGGGGAGGGTTGGGAGTAATATGGGGGAGGGTTGGGAGTGTAATGGGGGAGGGTTGGGAGTTCGTAACCCAGCAAATAATAACCTGAGATAGTAACCTGGTGGATACTACTGACCTGGGGTGATGGCTTGGTGAATACTACTGACCTGAGGTGATGGCTTGGTGGATACTACTGACCTGAGGTGATGGCTTGGTGAATACTACTGACCTGAGGTGATGGTCTGGTGGATACTACTGACCTGGGGTGATGGCTTGGTGAATACTACTGACCTGAGGTGATGGTCTGGTGGATACTACTGACCTGAGGTGATGGCTTGGTGGATACTACTGACCTGAGGTGATGGCTTGGTGAATACTACTGACCTGAGGTGATGGCTTGGTGGATACTACTGACCTGAGGTGATGGCCTGGTGGATACTACTGACCTGAGGTGATGGCCTGGTGGATACTACTGACCTGAGGTGATGGCCTGGTGGATACTGCTGACCTGAGGTGATGGTCTGGTGGATACTGTTGACCTGAGGTGATGGTCTGGTGGATACTGTTGACCTGAGGTGATGGTCTGGTGGATACTGCTGACCTGAGGTGATGGCCTGGTGGATACTACTGACCTGAGGTGATGGCCTGGTGGATACTACTGACCTGAGGTGATGGCTTGATGGATACTGCTGACCTGAGGTGATGGTCTGGTGAATACTGCTGACCTGAGGTGATGGCCTGGTGGATACTGCTGACCTGAGGTGATGGTCTGGTGGATACTGTTGACCTGAGGTGATGGTCTGGTGGATACTGCTGACCTGAGGTGATGGCCTGGTGGATACTACTGACCTGAGGTGATGGCTTGGTGGATACTACTGACCTGAGGTGATGGTCTGGTGGATACTGCTGACCTGAGGTGATGGTCTGGTGGATACTACTGACCTGAGGTGATGGTCTGGTGGATACTGCTGACCTGGGGTGATGGCTTGGTGGATACTACTGACCTGAGGTGATGGTCTGGTGGATACTACTGACCTGAGGTGATGGCTTGGTGGATACTACTGACCTGAGGTGATGGCTTGGTGGATACTACTGACCTGAGGTGATGGTCTGGTGGATACTACTGACCTGAGGTGATGGCTTGGTGGATACTACTGACCTGAGGTGATGGCCTGGTGGATACTGCTGACCTGAGGTGATGGCCTGGTGGGGAACTAACCTGAGGAGATGATGGCTTGGTGGGGAACTAACCTGAGGAGATGATGGCCTGGTGGGGAACTAACCTGAGGAGATGATGGCTTGGTGGGGAACTAACCTGAGGAGATGATGGCCTGGTGGGGAACTAACCTGAGGAGATGATGGCTTGGTGGGGAACTAACCTGAGGAGATGATGGCCTGGTGGGGAACTAACCTGAGGAGATGATGGCCTGGTGGGGAACTAACCTGAGGAGATGATGGCTTGGTGGGGAACTAACCTGAGGAGATGATGGCTTGGTGGGGAACTAACCTGAGGAGATGATGGCCTGGTGGGGAACTAACCTGAGGAGATGATGGCCTGGTGGGGAACTAACCTGAGGAGATGATGGCTTGGTGGGGAACTAACCTGAGGAGATGATGGCTTGGTGGGGAACTAACCTGAGGAGATGATGGCTTGGTGGGGAACTAACCAGAGGAGATGATGGCCTGGTGGGGAACTAACCTGAGGAGATGATGGCCTGGGGGGTGATGCAGACGCCCTGGTCGTACAGAGGAAGAGCCTCACAGTCCAGGTTGGTGGGCCAGGGAATGTTGAACTTGGCGAGGAGCGGCTCACAGCCCAGTCTGGCGGCCTCACACACACTCCTGCAGGGCGGGATGGCCTCACTGACGAAGCCCAGCGTGCAGATGGGCGCGTACATGGAGCACAGGAAGAACTGCAGCTGGTCCGAGCACCTGGTCCATCCCAACAGCTGCACCCCACGGGGACAAGTATTACTACCGCGTTCCTAATTATTCCAGCTAGGTCATTGATAATAATGTGCCATATACGCGAGATAAGTGATGTGACCATATTGACAGTGGACGAGTGCTACTTATACCTGCCAAGTCACATTGGCAGGTATAAGTAACATCAGTGTCACCAGGGCGTAAATAATTCAACACTCGCCACAGGTAGAGGTAGACTGGTATAGTAGATTTTTTCAGTATCAGGATAGTTAACAAATGGAATGCATTAACTAGTGTTGTGGTGGAGGCTGACTCCATACACAGTTTAAAATGTAGATATGATAGACCCAATAGGCTCAGGAATCTGTACACCAGTTGATTGACAGTTGAGAGGCGGGACCAAAGAGCCAGAGCTCAACCCCGCAAACACAACTAGGTGAGTACACAGACTCGGCATTTTGGATATTAAGGGCGACATAAGGTGTAACATTTCCGTAGAATTTCAACTAAAAAAATCGTAGGTTTTAGTGAAATTTCGTAGGCAGTAGACTTTAACATGCATCACAGACAGTAGATTTTAAAGATAGGTTGTAACCCGTAGACTTTAATGATGATCTTGGCCCGTAAACTTACAGACTTCCTGGGCCGTAGACTTGAACGGGATTGCTAAGATTACAAAGTGGAGAACCAACAGAGCTGCTAGGACGTAGATTAATGTAAACATTAAAACACTCCCACAGAGATGCCAAGTATTCCGAGGATGTAAACATATAATGTAGAGTTTCCTCGCCCATGTTTCTCGTCTTCAAGTTAACAGTGACTTTACACACGACCATAAGAGTATGCCATCATTCCTTGCATACTTGTTCCTTATTATCCTCGCAGCCACCTACCACCTACTTCCTCCCACCACCTACCACCACCCACCACCCACCACCTACCACCACCTACCTCCTCCCACCACCCACCACCTACCTCCTCCCACCACCTACCACCACCCACCACCTACCTCCTCCCACCACCTACCACCACCCACCACCTACCTCCTCCCACCACCTACCTCCTCCTACCACCTACCACCACCCACCACCTACCTCCTCCCACCACCTACCTCCTCCCACCACCTACCTCCTCCCACCACCTACCTCCTCCCACCACCTACCACCTCCCACCACCTACCTCCTCCCACCACCTACCTCCTCCCACCACCTACCTCCTCCCACCACCTACCACCACCCACCACCTACCTCCTCCCACCACCTACCTCCTCCCACCACCTACCTCCTCCCACCACCTACCACCACCTACCACCACCCACCACCTGCCACCACCCACCACCTACCACCACCCACCACCTACCTCCTCCCACCACCTACCACCACCCACCACCTACCACCACCCACCACCTACCACCACCCACCACCTACCACCACCTACCACCTACCACCACCCACCACCTACCACCACCCACCACCTACCACCACCTACCTCCTCCCACCACCTACCACCACCCACCACCTACCTCCTCCCACCACCTACCACCTACCACCACCTACCTCCTCCCACCACCTACCACCACCCACCACCTGCCTCCTCCCACCACCAATTCCCACCACCTACCACCACCCACCACCTACCACCACCCACCACCTACCTCCTCCCACCACCTACCACCACCCACCACCTACCACCTCCCACCACCTACCACCTCCCACCACCTACCTCCTCCCACCACCTACCACCACCCACCACCTACCACCACCCACCACCTACCACCTCCCACCACCTACCACCACCCACCACCTACCACCACCTACCACCTCACACCATCTACCACCACCCACTACCTACCACCACCCACCACCACCCACCACTGTACTCACCTAATTGTGCTTGCGTATGTTGAAGGGAAGGGGGGTTGAGCTCTGGCTCTTTGGTCCTCGCCTCTCAACTGTCAATCAACTGTACTCACCTAATTGTACAGCTTCTCAACTTCCTGAGCCTACTGGGCTCTATCATATCTACATTTGAAACTGTGTATGGAGTCAGCCTCCACCACATCACTGCATAATGCATTCCATCTGTTAACTACTCTGACACAGAAAAAGTTTTTTCTAACGTCCCTGTGGCTCATTTGGCTACTCAGTTTCCACCTGTGTCTCATTGTTCGCGTACCACCCGTGTTAAACAGTTAATCATTATCTACCCTGTCAATTCCTCTAAGAATTTTGTAGGTAGTGATCATGTCTCCCCTTACTGTTCTGTCTTCTAGTGTCGTGAGGTGCATTTCTCGCAGCCTTTCTTCGCAACCCATGCCTCTTTGTTCTGGGACTAGCCTAATGGCATATATCTGAACTTTTTCAAGCGTCACCTTGTGCTTGACTAGGTACGGGCTCCATGCTGGGGCCGCATACTCCAGGATTGGTCTTACATATGCGGTATACAAGGTTCTGAATGATTCCTTACACAGGTTCCTGAAGGCTGTTCTGATGTTAGCCAGCCTCGCATACGCTGCAGATGTTATTCTTTTGATGTGGGCTTCAGGAGACAGGGTTGGTGTGATATCAACTCCTAGATCTTTCTCTCTGTCCGTTTCATGAAGGACTTCATCTCCCATTCTGTATCCTGTGTCTGGCCTCCTGTTTCCACTGCTTAGTTTCATTACCTTACATTTACTCGGGTTGAACTTTAGTAGCCATTTGTTGGACCAGTCATGCAGTCTGTCTAGGTCATCTTGTAGTCTCATACTGTCTTCCTCCGTCTTAATCCTCCTCATATTTTTTGCATCATCAGCAAACAATGAGAGGAATGATTCTATGCCATCTGGAAAATCATTTACATATATAAGAAACCGTATGGGTCCAAGGACTGATCCCTGCGGGACTCCACTGGTGACGTCCCGCCAATCTGAGACCTCACCCCGCACAGTGACTCGCTGCCTTCTGTTACTTAGGTACTCCCTTATCCAATGGAGTACCTTCCCTTTCACTCCTGCCTGCATCTCCAGCTTTTGCACTAGTCTCCGGTGTGGCACTGTATCAAAGGCTTTCTAGCAATCCAAAAATATGCAATCTGCCCAGCCCTCTCTTTCTTGTCTGATTTTTGTTGCCTGGTCGTAAAATTAAATTAATCCTGTGAGGCATGACTTGCCATCCCTGAAACCATGTTGGTGTTGTGACACAAAGTTCCTTCGCTCCAGATGTTCAACTAGCTTTTTTCGCACAATTTTCTCCATCAGCTTGCATGGTATGCAAGTTAGGGACACTGGCCTCTAGTTCAGTGCCTTCTGTCTATCCCCCTTCTTGTATATCGGGACTACGTTTGCCGCCTTCCAAATTTCTGGCAGTTCACCTGTTACCAGTGATTTGTTATACACCATGGAGAGTGGCAGGCACAGTGCTGCTCCTTCCTTTAGTATCCATGGTGATATTCCATCCGGGCCTATAGCCTTTGTCACATCCAACTCTAGAAAGAGCTTCCTTACATCTCTACTGGTAATCTCAAAATTCCTCTAGTGGTGCCTGGTTAATTATTCCTTCTCTTATCTCTGAAACTTGTCCTTGCTCTAATGTGAAGACTTCCTGGAATTTCATATTGAGTTCCTCGCACACTTCTTTGTCGTTTATAGTGAATCTGTCTGCCCCTATCCTTAGTTTCATTAGCTGTTCCTTCACTGTTGTCTTTCTCCTGATGTGGCTGTGCAGCAATTTGGGTTAGGTCATAGCTTTGCTTGCTATGTCGTTTTCATATTGCCTTCTGCCTCTCTTCTCACCCTGACGTATTCATTCCTGGCTCTCTGGTAACCTTCTCTGCTCTCATGTGTCCTGTTATTTCTATAGTTTCTCCATTCTCTTTTACTTTGTTGCTTAGCTAGGTTACATCTCTGACTAAACCATGGGTTTCTCATCTGCATTTAATTGTTTACCTTTTGGGCCGGGATAAACTTTTCTGTTGCCTCCTTACACTTCTGTGTGATGTATTCCATCATGACTTGGGCCGTCTTTCCTCTTAGCTCTGATTCCCATGTTATATCCGTTAGGAATTTTCTTATCTCCTCATAATTTCCCTTACGGAATGCTAACCTTTTGCTTTCAGTTCCCTTTCTCGAGTACTTTAGCCTTTCTTCGACCAGATACTGAAACGTCAGAACGCTGTGATCGCTCATTCCTGCTTGGGCCTCGAAGTCGATTTCTCTTATGTCGGAGTCATTCAAGAGTGAAGACTAGGTCGAGTCTCGCTGGTTCATCGTTTCCCCTCATCCTATTGGGTTCCCTGACATGTTGGCTTAGAAAGTTTCTTGTCGCCATCTCCACTAGTTTGGCTCTCCCTGTATCCTCTCCTCCGTGCGGTTCCTTGTTCTCCCAGTCTATCCTTCCGTGATTGAAGTCCCCCATGATGAGCAGATGGGATCTATTTCTACAGGCAGCAGAGGCCGCCCTCTCAATTATGTTATTAACTGCCATGTTGTTTCTGTCATACTCTTTTCTGAGTCTTCTGTCATTTGGAGGAGGGTTATATATCACTGCTACTACTACTCTGGGTCCTCCCATCGTCATGGTGCCTGTTATGTAGTCTCCAAACCCTTCACAGCCCGGGATAACCATCTCCTTGAAACTCCATTCCTTTCTCATGAGTAGGGCCACTCTGCCTCCTCCCCTACCCTCCCTCCCTCTCTTTCCTTATTACAGTGTAATCCTGGGGAACACCGCATTTGTTATGATTCCTGAGAGTTTTGTTTCCGTGATTCCAATTACATCTTGGTTTACTTCTTGTGCTCTTTCCCTAAATTCACACGCCTTGCTTGTAGTCCCTTCTATGCTTGTGTACATCACCTTGAAGCTAACTCTTTTCTGTCCATCCACAGTTTCTGTTGATTCCACTGGAGTAGGTAAACATGGAGGGTCTGGGATGGGGAGGGGGAAGGGGGGGCCCTGGGTCGTGAAGGGAGCTGAGAGTGAGGGGACCTGGGTTGTGGGGGGGGGGGGCTGGGAGGATCTGGTTTGGAGAGGGTAGGGGCAAAGTGAGGGCTTGGAGGGGTGGGGGAGAAGAAGGGGGGTTTAGGGGGGAAGGGGGGAGGGAGGGCTAGGGGGGTGGGGGAGATAGGAGGGCTTGCGGGGGTGGGGGGGAAAGGAGGGCTTGGGGGGGGAGAAGGAAAGGCTGAGGAGGGTGGGAGTGGAGGGAGGGGATAGGGGGGTGGGGGAGAACGGAAGGCTTATGGTGGTGGAATAGTGTAGAGGCTGGAGCAGGTAAGGGCCTGAAAACCTTTTCTATATTCAGTTCTTGCCCCCTCCGTCTGTATTCCTTCAAGGATCTATTTGACTGTGGCTTTATCCATATCTCTCCTCACCCTTGGAGTGGCCCCTATTTGTCCTACTACGGGCATTATTAATACCTACTACGACTACTGTTCTATTCCTCTCTATCAGTCGGCTAGTGCATCTTACTGCTTGCTGAGAAGTAGCAACTTTCATGGCAATTTCCTGTACTGCAAAGATGACTTCCAGGGTCCTTCTAAGTATGTCTGCTAATGAGGGTTGTATTGTAGAAGTCCCTTCTATAGATACATTACCATCTTCCTGAGGGCTGGTTCGTGGCTGATATTGGGGATTCTCTATCAGGCTTTTAATCTCCTCCCTTGCCTCAATCAGTTCATCCTGCAGGTTGGCTACCTTTTCCCTCATTACCTATAGTTCCACCCTGATTTCACTCAACATTTGAAAGAGTGTCTCAAGCGAGACATCTTGTCCTCCTCCTCCCTCTGTGTTACGTCTGCCCCCTGCCTTGTTTGTTTCCAATTCCAGTTCTCCAATCCAATGTGTGTGTGTGTGTGTGTGTGTGTGTGTGTGTGTGTGTGTGTGTGTGTGTGTGTGTGTGTGTGTGTGTGTGTGTGTGTGTGTGTGTACTCACCTAGTTGTACTCACCTATTTGTGTTTGCGGGGGTTGAGCTCTGGCTCTTTGGTCCCGCCTCTCAACCATCAATCAACAGGTGTACAGATTCCTGAGCCTATCGGGCTCTATCATATCTACATTTGAAACTGTGTATGGAGTCAGCCTCCACCACATCACCCCCTAATGCATTCCATTTGTCAACCACTCTGACACTAAAAAAGTTCTTTCTAATATCTCTGTGGCTCATTTGGGCACTCAGTTTCCACCTGTGTCCCCTTGTGCGTGTTCCCCTTGTGTTAAATAGACTGTCTTTATCTATCCTATCAATTCCCTTGAGAATCTTGAATGTGGTGATCATGTTCCCCCTAACTCTTCTGTCTTCCAGCGAAGTGAGGTTTAATTCCCGTAGTCTCTCCTCGTAGCTCATACCTCTCAGCTCGGGTACTAGTCTGGTGGCAAACCTTTGAACCTTTTCAAGTTTAGTCTTATCCTTGACTAGATATGGACTCCATGCTGGGGCTGCATACTCCAGGATTGGCCTGACATATGTGGTATACAAAGTTCTGAATGATTCTTTACACAAGTTTCTGAATGCCGTTCGTATGTTGGCCAGCCTGGCATATGCCGCTGATGTTATCCGCTTGACATGTGCTGCAGGAGACAGGTCTGGCGTGATATCAACCCCCAAGTCTTTTTCCTTCTCTGACTCCCGAAGAATTTCCTCTCCCAGATGATACCTTGTATCTGGCCTCCTGCTCCTAACACCTATCTTCATTACATTACATTTGGTTGGGTTAAACTCTAACAACGATTTGTTCGACCATTCCTTCAGCTTGTCTAGGTCTTCTTGAAGCCTCAAACAGTCCTCTTCTGTTTTAATCCTTCTCATAATTTTAGCATCGTCCGCAAACATTGAGAGAAATGAATCGATACCCTCCGGGAGATCATTTACATATATCAGAAACAAGATAGGACCGAGTACAGAGCCCTGTGGGACTCCACTGGTGACTTCACGCCAATCAGAGGTCTCACCCCTCACCGTAACTCTCTGCTTCCTATTGCTTAGGTACTCCCTTCTCCACTGGAGCACCTTACCAGCTACACCTGCCTGTCTCTCCAGCTTATGTACCATCCTCTTATGCGGTACTGTGTCAAAGGCTTTCCGACAATCCAAGAAAATGCAGTCCGCCCAGCCCTCTCTTTCTTGCTTAATCTTTGTCACCTGATCGTAGAATTCTATCAAGCCTGTAAGGCAAGGTTTACCCTCCCTGAACCCATGTTGGCGATTTATCATGAAGTCCCTTCTCTCCAGATGTGTTACCAGGTTTTTTCTCACGATCTTCTCCATCACCTTGCATGGTATACAAGTCAAGGACACTGGCCTGTAGTTCAGTGCCTCTTGCCTGTCGCCCTTTTTGTATATTGGGACCACATTCGCCGTCTTCCATATTTCTGGTAGGTCTCCCGTCTCCAGTGACTTACTATACACTATGGAGAGTGGCAAGCAAAGTGCCTCTGCACACTCTTTCAGTACCCATGGTGAGATCCCATCTGGACCAACAGCCTTTCTAACATCCAGATCCAGCAGATGTCTCTTGACCTCCTCTCTCGTAATTTCGAACTCTTCCAAGGCCGCCTGGTTTACCTCCCTTTCTCCTAGCACAGTGACCTCACCTTGTTCTATTGTGAAGACCTCCTGGAACCTCTTGTTGAGTTCTTCACACACCTCTCTGTCATTCTCTGTATACCTGTCCTCGCCTGTTCGAAGTTTCAATACCTGTTCTTTCACTGTTGTTTTCCTTCTGATGAGACTGTGGAGTAGCTTTGGTTCGGTCTTGGCTTTGTTTGCTATATCATTTTCAAAACTTTTCTCTGCTTCTCTTCTCACCCTGACATACTCATTCCTGGTTCTCTGGTATCTCTCTCTGCTTTCTGGTGTTCTGTTATTCCGGAAGTTCCTCCACGCCCTTTTGTTCAGTTTCTTCGCTTCCATACATGCCCTATTATACCATGGATTCTTCTGTTGCTTCTCGGATTTTTCCCTTTGGGCCGGGATGAACCTGTTTACTGCCTCCTGACACTTTTGGGTAACATAGTCCATCATACCCTGTACAGACTTATCTCTGAGGTTTGTGTCCCAAGGTATTTCACTTAGGAAACTTCTCATCTGTTCATAATTCCCCTTTCGGTATGCCAGCCTTTTGATTCCTGTGTGTGTGTGTGTGTGTGTGTGTGTGTGTGTGTGTGTGTGTGTGTGTGTGTGTGTGTGTGTGTGTGCGTGCGTGTGTGTGTGTGTACTCACCTAGTTGTACTCGCCTAGTTGTGCTTGCGGGGGTTGAGCTCTGGCTCTTTGGTCCCGCCTCTCAACCGTCAATCAACAGGTGTACAGGTTCCTGAGCCTATTGGGCTCTATCATATCTACACTTGAAACTGTGTATGGAGTCAGCCTCCACCACATTACTTCCTAATGCATTCCATTTGTCAACCACTCTGACACTAAAAAAGTTCTTTCTAATATCTCTGTGGCTCATTTGGGCACTCAGTTTCCACCTGTGTCCCCTAGTGCGTGTGCCCCTTGTGTTAAATTGCCTGTATTTATCAACCCTGTCGATTCCCTTGAGAATCTTGAATGTGGTGATCATGTCCCCCCTAACTCTCCTGTCTTCCAACGAAGTGAGGTTTAATTCCCGTAGTCTCTCCTCGTAGATCATACATCTCAGCTAGGGTACTAGTCTGGTGGCAAACCTTTGAACCTTTTCCAGTTTAGTCTTATGCTTGACTAGATATGGACTCCATGCTGGAGCCGCATACTCCAGGATTGGTCTGACATATGTGGTATATAATGTTCTGAAAGATTCCTTACACAAGCTTCTAAAGGCCGTTCTTATGTTAGCCAACCTGGCATATGCTGCTGATGTTATCCTCTTGATATGAGCTTCAGGGGACAGGTCTGGCGTGATATCAACCGCCTTTCTCTCTCTCTGACTCTTGATGTATCTCATCTCCCAAATGGTATCTTGTATCTGGTCTCCCGCTTCCTGGTATCCTGTGTGTGTTTGCTTGTGAGTGTGCGTGTCACGAGGGTCCCCTATGGGTCACACTCCTACCCGGAATGGCGTTATGTGGCGACCAGTCAGGGAAGAGAGAGGTGAGGAATCCCACCCTTCCTAGGTGTGTGTTGGTCTTCTAGGTGTGTGCGTGTGAGCCAATTAAGCCACTCCATTTTTGCTCCTCAGTGTGTGTGTGTATGGAGAGGGAGGAGTCTCCAGCCGTCAGGAGAGAGACAGAGTGAGTGAGAGAGAGAGAGAGGGGGGGGGGAGAGACAGAGACAGAGTAAACTCTTGCCCCTTTACACGCACTATTTATTTGAACAGTTATCCAGATCTCGTTACATGAGTCCATATTAATAACAGACATGCAATACTTTAAACGAGACGCACCAACTAAAAGACTATGAGGGCAGACACATAAGAGAGAGAGAGACATAAATGGTTAAGTTATGAGTGAATATTAAATAATAATAACCTCGAACTGCTCAATAGCGAGCTGTGCGTTTTCCTGTGATGAGTGGTGGAGGAGGTTGGGGAGGCGGGTGAGGTTGTAGGGCATCTTCTGGCACATGGGGATCTTGATCTCCTCACACTGAGGCCCAAACTGACCTTCCACCCCCATCAAGGCGCCGCCCACCACCGCCCACACCACCCACACCGCCCATCTCCTCCCAGCAGGTGTGGAGGCCACCGCTGGAGTCTCCAGCCTGGCCGTCATCTTCACCTGCAATATTGAACACATTAGACCCCTCGAGATATGTACAACGCACCTCCTTAAACAGTGTGGCTCATGTATAGCAGTGTGGCTCATGTATAGCAGTGTGGCTCATGTATAGCAGTGTGGCTCATGTATAGCAGTGTGGCTCATGTATAGCAGTGTGGCTCATGTATAGCAGTGTGGCTCATGTATAGCAGTGTGCTCATGGCAGTGTGGTTCATGTATAGCAGTGTGGTTCATGTATAGCAGTGTGGTTCATGTATAGCAGTGTGTGGCTCATGTATAGCAGTGTGGCTCATGTATAGCAGTGTGGTTCATGTATAGCAGTGTGGTTCATGTATAGCAGTGTGGTTCATGTATAGCAGTGTGGTTCATGTATAGCAGTGTGGCTCATGTATAGCATTGTGGCTCATGTATAGCAGTGTGGCTCATGTATAGCAGTGTGGCTCATGTATAGCAGTGTGGCTCATGTATAGCAGTGTGGCTCATGTATAGCAGTGTGGTTCATGTATAGCAGTGTGGTTCATGTATAGCAGTGTGGCTCATGTATAGCAGTGTGGTTCATGTATAGCAGTGTGGCTCATGTATAGCAGTGTGGTTCATGTATGCTCATGTATAGCAGTGTGGTTCATGTATAGCAGTGTGGTTCATGTATAGCAGTGTGGCTCATGTATAGCAGTGTGGTTCATGTATAGCAGTGTGGTTCATGTATAGCAGTGTGGTTCATGTATAGCAGTGTGTGGCTCATGTATAGCAGTGTGGTTCATGTATAGCAGTTCATGTATGTGGTTCATGTATAGCAGTGTGTGTGGTTCATGTATAGCAGTGTGGTTCATGTATAGCAGTGACTCATGTATGTGGTTCATGTATAGCAGTGTTCATGTATAGCAGTGTGGCTCATGTATAGCAGTGTGACTCATGTATAGCAGTGTGGGTCATGTATAGCATCATGTATAGCAGTGTGGTTCATGTATAGCAGTGTGACTCATGTATAGCAGTGTGGGTCATGTATAGCAGTAGCAGTGTGGGTCATGTATAGCAGTGTGGCTCATGTATAGCAGTGTGGTTCATGTATAACAGTGTGTGGCTCATGTATAGCAGTGTGGTTCATGTATAGCAGTGTGGTTCATGTATAGCAGTGTGGCTCATGTATCATGTATAGCAGTGTGTCTCATGTATAGCAGTGTGGTTCATGTATAGCAGTGTGTGGTTCATGTATAGCAGTGTGGTTCATGTATAGCAGTGTGGCTCATGTATAGCAGTGTGGCTCATGTATAGCAGTGTGGTTCATGTATAGCAGTGTGGTTCATGTATAGCAGTGTGTCTCATGTATAGCAGTGTGGCAGTGTGGTTCATGTATCATGTATAGCAGTGTGGTTCATGTATAGCAGTGTGGTTCATGTATAGCAGTGTGGTTCATGTATAGCAGTGTGGCTCATGTATAGCAGTGTGGTTCATGTATAGCAGTGTGGTTCATGTATAGCAGTGTGGTCTCATGTATAGCAGTGTGGTTCATGTATAGCAGTGTGGGACTCATGTATAGCAGTGTGGTTCATGTATAGCATGTATAGCAGTGTGGCTCATGTATAGCAGTGTGGTTCATGTATAGCAGTGTGGTTCATGTATAGCAGTGTGGTTCATGTATAGCAGTGTGGTTCATGTATAGCAGTGTGGCTCATGTATAGCAGTGTGGTTCATGTATAGCAGTGTGTGGTTCATGTATAGCAGTGTGGTTCATGTATAGCAGTGTGGTTCATGTATAGCAGTGTGGCTCATGTATAGCAGTGTGGTTCATGTATAGCAGTGTGGTTCATGTATAGCAGTGTGGTTCATGTGTGTGGTTCATGTATAGCAGTGTAGCAGTGTGGCTCATGTATCAGTGTGTATGTATAGCAGTGTGGTTCATGTATAGCAGTGTGGTTCATGTATAGCAGTGTGGTTCATGTATAGCAGTGTGGTGGCATGTATAGCAGTGTGGTTCATGTATAGCAGTGTGGTTCATGGCATGTATAGCAGTGTGGCTCATGTATAGCAGTGTGGCTCATGTATAGCAGTGTGGCTCATGTATAGCAGTGTGGCTCATGAATAACAAAGGATCTGAAGAAGCTTATAGGTAAAAAGAGAGCGTGGTACAAAAGGATTAAGAATGGGGAAGTCAGTTTAGAACAAAAATTCGTACAACTGGTTAGAAATATGAAAATAGAGATAAGGAGGGTAAAAAGAAACTATAAAGTTCACATAGCAAGCTTATCGAAGATAAATCCTAAAGTTTTTTCAGTTATATCGAACAAAGAGTAAGCATAGGTCCATTAAAAACTGAGACAGGTCAGTTAACTGATAATGACGAAGAGATGTGTAGTATTTTTAATAAATATTTTGTCTCTGTACTTACTAAACTGGATTTTAACAATATGACTTCAACTGAACAAGTCTATTTGGGTGGGGAAGAGGAGAGGTTGACTAGTTTAGCAGTGACCAAGGAGGAGACCAATATTAAAAAGACCTCGTCGTGGAAAGTCGTAAAGGACTGGGGTCTTAAGAAGACCTTGACAAGGCCGCCAACAGACGCCCTAAGGACTTTAAATTAATTTGCCGTATTGGAAGACGAGTGCCGTGGTGAGCCTGCAGTTCACTCGAAAGGGAAATCAACGAAGAGCAACGAACCGCAGGCCCCTCAAAGTTCTTAAAAATGTAAGGAGGCACCTAAGCGAATTTTGGTTGTGGGAGATTCCCAGGTAAGGTATTTAGACAGAACGTTTTGTGCTAGAGATAAGGGGAACAGGTTAAGGGTTTGGTATCCCGGAGCTGGAATTGGTGAATTGGTTACCTGTGTGGCATCTATTCTTATACTTGCGATATGAACGGTATAAGTAAACAACACAGATCAATTCCAACACAATGTCACACAAAATAATTAAATCAAAATGAAAATAAATCGAATTCTACGAAAATTCAATTTATCAATGCAATCGGAAACATTTAAATGGAACTGTAACATATTTAGTATAGCCTGTGTTGCTATTATGTGCAACAGATGGAGCTATTTTTTCAGAAAAAGCATATTTTTACCTGTCACAGGTGTGGCATCTATATAGTAGGTACATAAAAACATGTGCATATTCGAATGGAACGTTGTATCAAAATTTCAAAGCAATCAGTGAAGACTTTTCAGAGATTACTGAGTGTGTTACTCTTACGTCCAGCAGATGGCGCTGTTTTTCAAAAAACGCATGTTTTTTCCTGTCACAGGTGAGGCATGTATATAATAGGTATATGAAAACACGCACCTACTCGAATGCAACGTTGAGTCAAAATTTGAAAGCAATCGGTAAAGAGGTTTTGAAGATTTCCCTCACATGAAAAACACATGGAAAAACACAGTTAAAACAAATATATTTTTTTCCCGTCACAGACGTGACATCTAAATAGTATGTATATAAAAACTATCTCGGGTGCGAATGGAACGTTGTATGAAAATTTCAAAGCAATCGGTGAAGAACTTTCAGAGATAAGCAAATTTTGAACAAACGAATATTTACATTTGTATTTATATAGACATATGTGTGTGTGTGTGTGTATGTATGTGTATAAAGGATATGTGGAGGCTGGTCAGAATTGTATTTCACCTTATAAATGCACATTAATGACACTATATGTAGAACTCAAACACTTTATGTAGGGAGACGTAAATATATGTATTTATGTCTGTAGTTTAGATTAGCATTTTAAAAGCACTACAATCACCTTTTGTGGTTGATTGTTCAATAAATCCCTGGACAATATGTTTACCAGATCTCTCGCCCTGTCTATAGAGGACATAAGAAAATGTATATATGCTGTTTAGCATTGTAAATGTGAGGCCACGTCTGTGGTAGAAAAAAAGAGAAAACGACTCTAAAACACTGCCTGACTCTAATGATTTATTAAATATGATAGTCAATGGCTCGCTAAGCTCCTCTATGCATTCGTTAAGTACCCTGGCAAACACTTCCTCGGGCCCTGGGGATTTGTTTAGCTTGAATTTCACTATTTGTGTAATAACATCCTCCCTGGTAACTGCTAAACTAGTCAATCTGTCCTCTTCCCCACCCACATAGACTTGTTCGGCTGAAGGCATAATATTCAGTTCTTCTTTAGTAAATACAGAGTTAAAATATTTATTAAAATACTACTCATCTCTTCATCACTATCAGTTATCTGACCTGTCTCAGTTTTTAATGGACCTATCCTTTCCCTAATCTTTGTTCGATATAACTGAAAAAACCCTTTAGGATTTGTCTTTGCTTGCCCTGCATGCGAACTTTATAGTTTCTGTTGACCAAACCACACACTAGAAGGTGAAGGGACGACGACGTTTCGGTCCGTCCTGGACCATTCTCAAGTCGATTGTCACAATCGACTTGAGAATGGTCCAGGACGGACCGAAACGTCGTCGTCCCTTCACTTTCTAGTGTGTGGTTTTGTTAACATATTTCAGCCACGTTATTGTGACTCCTCGCCAGCATCTGTTTATAGTTTCTTTTTGCCCTTCTTATCTCTTTTTTTAACATTTCTAACCAGTTGAACGAATTCTTGTTCTCAACTGACTACCCCATTCTTAATCCTTTTGTTCCAAGCTCTCTTTCTACTTATAATGTTCTTCAGATCCTTTGTTATCCATTTCGGGTCATTATTATTCAATCTATTCAATTTGTAATGTTTACTACGTTCCTGTGCTATGCTTAGAATATTTTTAACATTAGTGATACGCCAGACATGGTGATGACACAGGGGTCAGGGAGCACCAGACATGGTGATGACACAGGGGTCAGGGAGCACCAGACATGGTGATGACACAGGAGTCAAGGAGCACCAGACATGGTGATGACACAGGGGGTCAGGGAGCACCAGACATGGTGATGACACAGGGGTCAGGGAGCACCAGACATGGTGATGACACAGGGGTCAGGGAGCACCAGACATGGTGATGACACAGGGGTCAAGGAGCACCAGACATGATGATCAGGGAGCACAGGGGTCAGGGAGCACCAGACAAGGAGGGGGTCAGCGCCAGACATGGATGACACAGGGGTGACACAGGGGACACAAGGGTCAGGGAGCACCAGACATGGTGATGACACAAGGGTCAGGGAGAACCAGACATGGTGATGACACAGGGGGTCAGGGAGCGCCAGACATGGTGATGGAGCGCCAGACATGTTGATGACACAAGGGTCAGGGAGCACCAGACATGGTGATGACACAGGGGTCAGGGAGCACCAGACATGGTGATGACACAGGGGTCAATGAGCACCAGACATGGTGATGACACAGGGGTCAAGGAGCACCAGACATGGTGATGACACAGGGGTCAGGGAGCACCAGACATGTTGATGACACAGGGGTCAAGGAGCAGACCAGACATGGTGATGACACAGGGGGTCAGGGAGACATGATGATGACACAGACATGGCGATGACACAGGGGGTCAGCGCCAGACATGGTGGAGCACCAGACATGGTGATGACACAGGGGTCAAGGAGCACCAGACATGGTGATGACACAGGGGGTCAGGGAGCGCCAGACATGGTGATGACACAGGGGTCAAGGAGCACCAAACATGGTGATGACACAGGGGTCAAGGAGCACCAGACATGGTGATGACACAGGGGTCAGGGAGCACCAGACATGGTGATGACACAGGGGTCAAGGAGCACCAGACATGGTGATGACACACGGGGTCAGGGAGCACCAGACATGGTGATGACACAGGGGTCAGGGAGCACCAGACATGGTGATGACACAGGGGTCAAGGAGCACCAGACATGGTGATGACACAGGGGTCAGGGAGCACCAGACATGGTGATGACACAGGGGTCAAGGAGCACCAGACATGGTGATGACACAGGGGTCAGGGAACGCCAGACATGGTGATGACACAGGGGGTCAGGGAGCACCAGACATGGTGATGACACAGGGGTCAGGGAGCACCAGACATGGTGATGACACAGGGGTCAAGGAGCACCAGACATGGTGATGACACAGGGGGTCAGGGAGCGCCAGACATGGCGATGACACAGGGGTCAGGGAGCTCCAGACATGGCGATGACACAGGGGTCAGGGAGCGCCAGACATGGCGATGACACAGGGGTCAGGGAGCGCCAGACATGGTGATGACACAGGGGTCAGGGAGCGCCAGACATGGTGATGACACAGGGGTCAAGGAGCACCAGACATGGTGATGACACAGGGGGTCAGGGAGCGCCAGACATGGTGATGACACAGGGGTCAGGGAGCGCCAGACATGGTGATGACACAGGGGTCAGGGAGCGCCAGACATGGTGATGACACAGGGGTCAGGGAGCGCCAGACATGGTGATGACACAGGGGTCAGGGAGCACCAGACATGGTGATGACACAGGGGTCAGGGAGCACCAGACATGGTGATGACACAGGGGTCAGGGAGCACCAGACATGGTGATGACACAGGGGGTCAGGGAGCACCAGACATGGTGATGACACAGGGGTCAAGGAGCACCAGACATGGTGATGACACAGGGGTCAGGGAGCACCAGACATGGTGATGACACAGGGGTCAGGGAGCACCAGACATGGTGATGACACAGGGGTCAGGGAGCGCCAGACAGGGTGATGACACAGGGGTCAGGGAGCACCAGACATGGTGATGACACAGGGGTCAGGGAGCACCAGACATGGTGATGACACAGGGGTCAGGGAGCACCAGACATGGTGATGACACAGGGGTCAGGGAGCACCAGACATGGTGATGACACAGGGGTCAGGGAGCACCAGACATGGTGATGACACAGGGGTCAGGGAGCACCAGACATGGTGATGACACGGGGCGTAAGGAATGCAAGAGGCGGCCCTTGTCAGCAGAGCGGGAGTAAATACAAGATCAACGTACCTTAGAGGTGGGGAGAGAGAGAGAGGTGTGAGTGCGTCAATACTAGCAGTAGGATACGGAGTAGGTCCCACCACAGTAGGTCCCACCACAGTAGGTCCCACCACAGTAAGTGTTGAGTGCACACTCACATCTTGATGTGGGCCGCGTTGACCCTCACGCTCACACACACACACTGCTCCACACACCGGCTTGGCTCACCACTGTGCCACACACCGGCTTGGCTCACCACTGTGGCACACACCGGCTTGGCCCACCACTGTGGCACACACCGGCTTGGCCCACCACTGTGGCACACACCGGCTTGGCCCACCACTGTGGCACACACCGGCTTGGCCCACCACTGTGGCACACACCGGCTTGGCCCACCACTGTGGCACACACCGGCTTGGCCCACCACTGTGGCACACACCGGCTTGGCCCACCACTGTGGCACACACCGACTTGGCTCACCACTGTGGCACACACCGGCTTGGCCCACCACTGTGGCACACACCGGCTTGGCTCACCACTGTGGCACACACCGGCTTGGCCCACCACTGTAGCACACACCGTCTTGGCTCACCACTGTAGCACACACCGGCTTGGTTCACCACTGTAGCACACAGTAAACTGAGCGATGACACCGTCGCCACCACTACCTAACGCTCCTGTAATTACTGAACTCAGCGTCAACATCGAGCGAGCGAGTCCACATCAACTCCATCCTTCACAGGCAAACCCTTGCAAGTTGTTTTACTGCGACTGTCTGCTCCTGGGACCAGCACCTGTCATCGTGACAGTATCTCTGCTATAATACGGAGGCCTACGTGACCTAGCAGCAAATGGGGTTACGGGCCGTCATCAGGGGTAACTATGGAGGGTAACTCTGTATGCGTGGAAATGTTTCTGCGTCTGGCAGCGGCGAGATGTGCAGGTGTATTGTGTTAAGATGAATGAGAAAATGAGGAATAGTGTGCGGTGCGGAGAGTCTCCGGTAATATTACCCTCTTGAAGAACCCACTAGAGGAGCTCTTGAGAGGTGAAGGAGGTGGGGGGCAGCATCGGGAGGAGGACGAGGCCCTGATGCAGGGAGGCAGCGGGCGAGGCCCTGACGCAGGGAGGCAGCGGGCGAGGCCCTGACGCAGGGAGGCAGCGGGCGAGGCCCTGACGCAGGGAGGCAGCGGGCGAGGCCCTGACGCAGGGAGGCAGCGGGCGAGGCCCTGACGCAGGGAGGCAGCGGGCGAGGCTCTGACGCAGGGAGGCAGCGGGCGAGGCCCTGACGCAGGGAGGCAGCGGGCGAGGCCCTGACGCAGGGAGGCAGCGGGCGAGGCTCTGACGCAGGGAGGCAGCGGGCGAGGCCCTGACGCAGGGAGCAGCGGGCGAGGCCCTGACGGAGGGAGGCAGCGGGCGAGGCCCTGACGCAGGGAGGCAGCGGGCGAGGCCCTGACGCAGGGAGGCAGCGGGTGAGGCCCTGACGGAGGGAGGCGGCGGGCGAGGCCCTGACGGAGAGAGGCGGCAGGCAAGGCCCTGACGGAGGGAGGCAGCGGGCGAGGCCCTGACGGAGGAAGGCAGCGGGCGAGGCCCTGACGCAGGAAGGCAGCGGGCGAGGCCCTGACGGAGGGAGGCGGCGGGCGAGGCCCTGACGCAGGGAGGCAGCGGGCGAGGCCCTGACGCAGGGAGGCAGCGGGCGAGGCCCTGACGGAGGGAGGCGGCGGGCGAGGCCCTGACGCAGGGAGGCAGCGGGCGAGGCCCTGACGGAGGAAGGCAGCGGGCGAGGCCCTGACGCAGGAAGGCAGCGGGCGAGGCCCTGACGGAGGGAGGCGGCGGGCGAGGCCCTGACGCAGGGAGGCAGCGGGCGAGGCCCTGACGGAGGGAGGCAGCGGGCGAGGCCCTGACGCAGGGAGGCAGCGGGCGAGGCCCTGACGGAGGGAGGCAGCGGGCGAGGCCCTGACGCAGGGAGGCAGCGGGCGAGGCCCTGACGCAGGAAAGCAGCGGGCGAGGCCCTGACGGAGGGAGGCAGCGGGCGAGGCTTCAGCCCCTGTTCACCTAGTAGTAAGGGTGTACCTTAGCTATACATACCCATTTCTAATTTATTTAGTTTGGTTTTATTTTGAAATTAAATCTGGGTGAGACATAAAATAAAAATATGCTGCACAAATGATGTTAGGTAAGGAGAAGGGTAAAAATGTCACAAACTTTATTCATTGAATACTTAAAGCTATAATTATGACTATATAGACTATTAAAAAAGAGAGAGGGAAATAGGGGTCCAAGACCTCTTCCTGTTATACAATTTGGGTGTGGAACAAGTAATTATCAAGAGAAGGCACCATGCCGGGAAGGCTGTGTAGCAGTAAGGCAGTGAGGTGAGGCAGCTACTTATTTGAGAAATGCTTATTTTATTTACCTTATAAGCTGAGGCAACTTATTTTATTTGAGGAATACTCAGCTGATTCCTCTACATTTAGCATGGAACAAATTTGTGTCCAAGACCTCTTCCTGTTACTCAATTTGGCTGTGTGTAACCAAACTAGAAGTGCTCTACAAATCAAGGGACCCAGAATGTGGAATGACCTCCCGAATCATGTCAAAGGCTGTACCTCTCTCAACCAGTTTAAGAGTTAAACCAAGTACTGCCTAATTAACTCCATGTAACCTAACTTACCTCCTAAATGTCAACCCATGTCTTGCTATTTTTTAAACAACGCTGTTCACCAACATGTGCAATTGCTGATTTATGCTATGTTAACCCCCTTTTTGTATTTTTTATTCCTTCTTTCAACACAATTTATACCTAATCCCGATTACTATTAAGTTTTAGTCTGTGTTTTTTCCCCCCACACCTTGCCCGAAATGCTAAGAGTATTAGTGGCTTTAGGTATTGTATGTACTAGCTCTGCCTATAAATCCAACATTATGTTTGTAAATCAACTGTATGTACTTTTCCTGAATAAAATGTATTTATTATTTATTTTTTAATCAGTAAGTATTAAAAGAAGGCACCAAGCTGGGAAGGCTATGTAGCACCATTGTGTGTAACAATAAACCAAATTTTTTTTAACAAATAATGCACCTGTATTGTAAAACAAATCCTGTCAGCTGTAAAAATATTGATGCAGTTATTTAAATGAAAAATATAATGAAAGAAATATTACTGGTTTATTTTTATCCTATCTTTTTGTACTGTACAGTATATCCAAGGAAGTGAAAAATTGAGACAATGCACAATTTAATGAATGATTAGCATGGATTAGCAGTTCAAAAGAAATATGATTTGTATTACATATCAACATGAGATCTTAATGATCCATGGTCAACATGATTTAATAAGGATAATACAGTACTGTATTTGTAATAATACAAACTATAATTTAAAATCTTTATTACTGATTTTTTTTATTAAGAAGATTAGGGTGTAAGGGTGTAAACAGGGCCTCGTAGCCTGGTGGATAGCGCGCAGGACTCGTAATTCTGTGGCGCGGGTTCGATTCCCGCACGAGGCAGAAACAAATGGGCAAAGTTTCTTTCACCCTGAATGCCCCTGTTACCTAGCAGTAAATAAGTACCTGGGAGTTAGTCAGCTGTCACGGGCTGCTTCCTGGGGGTGGAGGCCTGGTCGAGGACCGGGCCACGGGGACACTAAAAAGCCCCGAAATCATCTCAAGATAGATACACAGCAATGTGCTGCTACCCTATTCTATATGGAATATTACACAGTGTAGATAAAAAACTAGCTATAAGTTTATCTAATACTCCCATCTCACAGGATGGTTAGACATACTGTACATGGAATCAATTTAGAAAATACCAGCCTCAATACAAAAAACAAATCAACTCTGACTAAACAACTCTAAGCAATTTTCACAAGAGGTAAGCACTGAATCATGGAAACATTATATTATAATTACTCTTACCAGTTTCTACAAAACTCCTCTCAAACAATGTATTTTTAAACATGTTTAGGTATACACAGCAATGTGCTGCTTCCCTATTCTGTATGAAGGACCACACAGTGTAGATCAAAAACCAGCTACAAGCTCACCCAACATCCTCACCTCACAGGATGGCCAGTCATACATGGAATTAGGAGAGAACAAAATACTTAATGCTGATCTATTAGCCTCCACTGGCAAAATCTGGGTGCAGCACAAGAATATCTTCCAATATTCCTGAGTGTATGAAGTAATTACAGAGCTCAAAATACCTCATACCATTTGGTATGAAGTCACTGATAACAGGACAATCACAGATATAGTGTTGGAGAGTATGTTCTCTCAAGTAGGACTGAAAACAGATGTTTTTTTTCCACCAAGAGGGCTATAAACCCATGGAACCGCCTACCCGCTGAAGCCGTAAATGCCAAATTCCAGCTAAAAAATATCATTAAGACAATTGGCGGGCCCTTTAACAAGCCGCCGGCTTTCTGTCCTCTTCGAGGTCACTAGATAGTTAGTGGCCCTTGGGTAAATTCAGTAAATATATACAATAATTGTCAGCGCATCTTCCGAGCAACAAGGACAGCTACACAGTATCTCTTAGAATTACGTAGGTAAACAACAAATGTAACATATTTGTTTACTACAATGTCGGTGCTGGCTGTAGAAGTTGAAAAAACATTGTTTTACTTCGAAATATACTAATTTTATAAGAAAATTCGACGTAAAAAGGCGGCAGTAGAGCTCCGATAAGCCAGCGCTAAATCTTCAATATGAAGAATGTTGCTGCTCTCTGATTGGCCAAACGAAACACAGTAGTGACCTCTATCGGCACGCAGGTGAACCAACAATTTTCTTCCTAAGTATACCTTATTGAATCGCACCTAAGCATCATCTTAGGGCGCACTTAGGAACCTTCGTAGCAAACCCACTTACGAAGACATACACAGAGCTTCCTGAATCTAGGTCCAAAATCGTTCTATGCCTATATAATGAGCACCACACCAGAAATAAATACAGTTTTGATATTCCAAGAGTACGACTTAATCAAACTAGAAATGCTCTACAAATCAAGGGACCCAGAATGTGGAATGATCTTCCCAACCATGTTAAAGACTGTACCTCTCTCAACCAGTTTAAGATAAAAACTAAACACTACCTAATAAATTCCCTGTAACCTACCTTACCCCTCTATTGTCAACCCATGTCTGTTATTTTTTTTTTAATCAACACTGTTTGTCAACCTATTGTATTTGTGCTGCTTTTTCAGTCATGTTCCCCCTTTTTTTTATCTTTATTTGTATTTGTTCTCAACACATTTTATTCCTTATGCTCAATTAGTATTAAGTTCTAGATATTAATGTTTTTCCTGCCCGAAACGCATTGCGTAATAGTGGCTTTAGGCATTGTATGTACTAGCTCTATCTATATATCGATCCATTAATGTAACATTACTTGTATGTATGTACCCTTCCTGAATAAACATATTTATTTATTTATTTATTTTATAAGAAGTAAAACCAAAACAAGGGTTAGGTAGGACCCTTAAAGATGAGACTAACCAAGTAATAATGGACGATAAGAGGGCAGCAAACACTCAGAATGAATACTTCACATCAGTGTTCACACTAGAAACATTAGATGACATCCCATCGCCCACACAAATGTTTGAAGAAGGTGAAGAGAAAGCATTAAGGTATTTAAGAAATTAATTAATTAATGGTTTCGTGATTATGTCGCACCCATAACATGTGGCATAATCAGGAAGAACATTGATGAACTAAAAGACTCGGAAGCGCCAGGTGTGGATGGAATTCAATCCAAAATCATAAAGGAACTGGCAGAGGAACTGTGCCTACAGCTGAAACTCCTTCTCTGAAAATCTCTGGACCAAGGGATAGTCCCCCTAGATTGGAAATATGCAAACGTCACTCCTATTTTCAAAAAAAAAGCAGAAAGCGCTCAGCAGAAAACTACCGGCCGATCAGTTTGACATCACACACCTGCAAGCTCACGGAGAGAATCCTCAGGGAGGGAATCATTCGCCATCTTTCAGCGAACAATCTTGTTAAATCGACACAATATGGGCTTGTTAACAATAGATCCTGACTTACAAACCTGCTCACATTTTTGGAAACAGTAACCGGCTACCCAGACAAAGGAATTTCGGGAGAGGTAGTTAGTATACATGGCCTTTGCTAAAGCTTTTAAAACACTTTAGTGCGCGCGGCACTTGTGAAAAAAAAAGCGCCTTGTGCGCGCGGCGTTCTGCGCGCTCAAGCGTAAACACAAAAAAGTGTATAATCTTTTCACGCTCCTAACATCAATTCTCGAGCTACGTTTTTCATTTTGGTATCAATGCGTTGGCAATAAAATTCTCTACAAGATCATATGCATAAAATGCCACCAAAGCATTTGCTAATAAACACGAAGTTGACTCGCCGTGACACCCAAACAGGAAGTAAATGTTCATACTCTTTCGTTTGTTGCCAGCCTCACAGTCATCCTACAGCGCTTATTTTGATATCACTGAACTCGCAATAAAATTCCCCACCCAGACATATGCCTATCAATGTCTAATTATGTTCCGCACGAGTGTGGGAACTGGGCGAAGCGTTAGCCGTGATTTCAGCAGCGACGACACTGTTGTGATGCAGCGCTTTGAAAGTTTATACTTATTTCACTGTCCTGACATTATTTCTCGAGCTACGTATTTCATTTTTATAGCAATGTGTTCGCAATAGAAAGTTCTATAAGAACATGGGTAGAATTGGCCAACAGAGCGTCAAATAAGTTTGCGGTGAATAAAATCTTACGCGAATCTTACGCGTGTTTGTACCCGTGAGCGTAAAAAGTTTTTACTTTGCTCATGTTTTTTCAAGTTTATACTTGATTCACACCGTTTTTTTTTGTTTGTATAGTGTTCGGAATAAAATTCTCTACACAGACATATGCATATAAATGTAGAATCATGATCGCGGCCAACACAAGAATGTGTGGAGTGGGCGATTACCCTCGTTGTGTCACCAACTCAATAGTCTCTCCTCTAAGTTACAATACATTGCCGTTTTCTCAAATAGGCACTGTGCCTATTAGAGAAAACGAAAATTTAATGGCAAACATATTCATACAAACCCCAAGTCGACCGAGTAGTAAATACCCAATATAAAACACGGTCCGTAAATTTACGTCGTGATCCGACAAGCGGTTAAGCAAAACGCCCGTAATTCCAAGTGGAAAATCCAGGGAAGTGTTAAATATATTAATGGGTACCACATTAAAGATCGACAAGGAAATTAAAGGCACATAGAATAAATGGAAGAATATTAGAATGGATAAAACAACGGTTAAAACAAAGGGTCGTGCTAAATGGGAATGAATCTGGAGAAATGTATTTAATGGGGTGCCACAGGGGTCCATTTTGGGCCCAACTCTTTTTGTCATATAGGACCTAGATTCAGGAAGCTCTGTGTATTTCTTCGTAAGTGGGTTTGCTACGAAGGTTCCTAAGTGCGCCCTAAGAAGATGCTTAGGTGCGATTCAATAAGGTATACTTAGGAAGAAAATTGTTGGTTCACCTGCGTGCCGATAGAGGTCACTACTGTGTTTCGTTTGGCCAATCAGAGAGCAGCAACATTCTTCATATTGAAGATTTAGCGCTGGCTTATCGAAGCTCTACTGCCGCCTATTTACGTCGAATTTTCTTATAAAATTAGTATATTTCGAAGTAAAACAATGTTTTTTCAACTTCTACAGCCAGCACCGACATTGTAGTAAACAAATATGTTACATTTGTTGTTTACCTACGTAATTCTAAGAGATACTGTGTAGCTGTCCTTGTTGCTCGGAAGATGCGCTGACAATTATTGTATATATTTACTGAATTTACCCAAGGGCCACTAACTATCTAGTGGCCTCGAAGAGGACAGAAAGCCGGCGGCTTGTTAAAGGGCCCGCCAATTGTCTTAATGATATTTTTTAGCTGGAATTTGGCATTTACGGCTTCAGCGGGTAGGCGGTTCCATGGGTTTATAGCCCTCTTGGTGGAAAAAAAACATCTGTTTTCAGTCCTACTTGAGAGAACATACTCTCCAACACTATATCTGTGATTGTCCTGTTATCAGTGACTTCATACCAAATGGTATGAGGTATTTTGAGCTCTGTAATTACTTCATACACTCAGGAATATTGGAAGATATTCTTGTGCTGCACCCAGATTTTGCCAGTGGAGGCTAATAGATCAGCATTAAGTATTTTGTTCTCTCCTAATTCCATGTATGACTGGCCATCCTGTGAAGTGAGGATGTTGGGTGAGCTGGTAGCTGGTTTTTGATCTACACTGTGTGGTCCTTTATACAGAATAGGAAAGCAGCACATTGCTGTGTATACCTAAACATGTTTAAAAATACATTGTTTGAGAGGAGTTTTGTAGAAACTGGTAAGAGTAATTATAATATAATGTTTCCATGATTCAGTGCTTACCTCTTGTGAAAATTGCTTAGAGTTGTTTAGTCAGAGTTGATTTGTTTTTTGTATTGAGGCTGGTATTTTCTAAATTGATTCCATGTACAGTATGTCTAACCATCCTGTGAGATGGGAGTATTAGATAAACTTATAGCTAGTTTTTTATCTACACTGTGTAATATTCCATATAGAATAGGGTAGCAGCACATTGCTGTGTATACCTAATCTTCTTAATAAAAAAAATCAGTAATAAAGATTTTAAATTATAGTTTGTATTATTACAAATACAGTACTGTATTATCCTTATTAAATCATGTTGACCATGGATCATTAAGATCTCATGTTGATATGTAATACAAGTCATATTTCTTTTGAACTGCTAATCCATGCTAATCATTCATTAAATTGTGCATTATGTCTCAATTTTTCACTTCCTTGGATATACTGTACAGTACAAAAAGTTAGGATAAAAATAAACCAGTAATATTTCTTTCATTATATTTTTCATTTAAATAACTGCATCAATATTTTTACAGCTGACAGGATTTGTTTTACCATACAGGTGCATTATTTGTTAAAAAAAATTTGGTTTATTGTTACACACAATGGTGCTACATAACCTTCCCAGCTTGGTGCCTTCTTTTAATACTTACTGATTAAAAAATAAATAATAAATACATTTTATTCAGGAAAAGTACATACAGTTGATTTACAAACATAATGTTGGATTTATAGACAGAGCTAGTACATACAATACCTAAAGCCACTAATACTCATAGCATTTCGGGCAAGGTGTGGGGGAAAAAACACAGACTATAACTTAGTAATCGGGATTAGGTATAAATTGTGTTGAAAGAAGGAATAAAAAATACAAAAACGGGGGTTAGCATAGCATAACTCAGCAATTGCACATGTTGGTGAACAGCGTTGTTTAAAAAATAGCAAGACATGGGTTGACATTTAGGAGGTAAGTTAGGTTACATGGAGTTAATTAGGCAGTACTTGGTTTAACTCTTAAACTGGTTGAGAGAGGTACAGCCTTTGACATGATTCGGGAGGTCATTCCACATTCTGGGTCCCTTGATTTGTAGAGCACTTCTAGTTTGGTTACACACAGCTAAATTGAGTAACAGGAAGAGGTCTTGGACACAAATTTGTTCCATGCTAAATGTAGAGGAATCAGCTGAGTATTCCTCAAATAAAATAAGTTGCCTCAGCTTATAAGGTAAATAAAATAAGCATTTCTCAAATAAGTAGCTGCCTCACCTCACTGCCTTACTGCTACATAGCCTTCCCGGCATGGTGCCTTCTTTTGATAATTACTTGTTCCACACCCAAATTGTATAACAGGAAGAGGTCTTGGACCCCTACTTCCCTCTCTCTTTTTTAGTAGTCTATATAGTCATAATTATAGCTTTAAGTATTCAATGAATAAAGTTTTTGACATTTTTACCCTTTTCCTTACCTAACATCATTTGTGCAGCATATTTTTATTTTATGTCTCGCCCAGATTTAATTTCAAAATAAAACCAAACTAAATAAATTAGAAATGGGTATGTATAGCTAAGGTACACCCTTACTACTAGGTGAACAGGGGCATTTGTTGATAGTAAATGATCCCATCAGGCAGGGCTCATCACCTTCTCTCATATTTCATGTTCACCAGTGTTTATTTACTTAATAACTACTGGTATAATATCTTGCTATTATAAAACTAATTCTACTATCATCAAACACATATTTACTTCAAGTTTCAAGCAGAGAATGCATATATAACTAACACGAAGGATTACTCTTCACTAGATTCACCAGCAATAATATTTTGGTCATGTTCCAATATCATAAATCGATCCCAGTGTTATGTAGTAGAGAAAAAATGACTTATATCCAGTTTACGTAAAGCTACGAGTGGTCGAAACCACACTTAAATCCCGGAATGAACTTACGAAGGTTTTTCCACTTAGGGTAGCTCTTTGAATACAGACGTAGCCGCCACGAAGGCGCTAAGAAGGAATTCGTTCTTAGCTAAGAGGAAAAACCTTCGTAAGTACCTTCCTGAATCCGCATGGAGACCTCATCTTCAGAAAGACAGCTGCTTTGAAGAAAGTTCAACACCGGGCAAAAAAAATCATTCCAGAACTAAGTCATCTCACGTATCAGGAACGGTTGAGGGCCACAGGGCTAACAACACTACCAACCAGGCATGACAGGGCGGATCTCATGGAAACTTTTGAAAGACTGAACAATTTGGAGGATGTTGATCCAGACATTTTCTTCTAAAGGTGAGATGTAACACAAACAAGGAGCAAAGGCGTCAAGCTCAACAAGCCACAATGTAGGACTGAGAACAGGAGATGCTTTTTTTCACTTACAGGGTTATAAACCTATGGAACCGCCTACTCACCGAAGCCGTAAATGCCAAAACTGTTAAACTTTAAAATCCAACTGGAAAAATCTTCTGGGCAAATGAGGGGGGGGGACCTTTGACAAGTCGGAGGGTTCCTGTCCTCGTCGAAGACAATAGAATGTTAGTGGTCCCCAGGTAAATTCAGGTAACATGTTGACAATCTGTGATTGCCAATATCAATGAATTCAGACGAAATGGTATGATTTGAGGTGGGTAAGTATTTCATGCACTCACGAGCACTGGAGGATATTGTTGATATTGATATTATGTGGGGCCTGACAGCTGAGTGGACAGCGCTCGAGATTCGTAGTCCTAAGGTTCCGGGTTCGATCCCCGGTGGAGGCAGAATCAAATGGGCAGAATTTCTTTCACCCTGATGCTCCTGTTCGCCTAGCAATAAATAGGTACAAGGAAGTTAAACAGCTGCTACGAGCTGCTTCCTGGGGGTGTGTAACAAAAAGGAGGCCTGGTCGAGGACAGGGCCGTGGGGACGCTAAGCCCCGAAATCATCTCTAGATAACCTCTAGATACCGAGAGTTAGACAGAGCACTAGTAATCTGTGCCAGTACACGTTAACAGATTACATTGTCATTCCATGTCCTCTCCAGATTCCATGTATGACTAGGAGGCCTGATCGGGGACCGGGCCGCGGGAACGTTGAGCCCCGAAATCATCGCAAGGTTAGGTAACTATCCTATGTATAAAATGGGAATATTGGATGAACTTACAGCTGGCTTTTAACCTACACTCCGTAACCTTTCACACAGGATAGGGTAGCAACACACGGCAGTGTACACATATGGTTCTTATAAACTAAGTATATGTGTTGTGCCTGTAGAACCTCCAGCTCATGGCTGCAATAGTGCCACCTGCTGACACTAAACCCATGGAACCGCCTACCCGCCGATGTCGTAAATACCAAAAACGCTGTTCAATTTTAAATAATAAATGAACTAAACTAACTAAACTAAGCAATTTTAAAATACAAATGGAAAAGGTCATCAGGACAAATGAGAGGACCTTTGACAAGCCGCCGGCTTCGTGTCCTCATCAAGGCCACTAGTGTTAGTGGGAGGCCACTAGTTTTAGTGGCCCTCAGGTAAATTCAGGCGTAGGTGCTTTCACCAGCACTGGATTTTCGTTGCGCTTTTGGTGACGTGTGGCAGCTGTTTCACAGGTAAGTATACATTAGTATCAATAAACACAATAGCTAATAAATAGTATATTTTTACAATGAATAAAATATTGTTCTATGATTTATAGTGAAGAAGTTAGTGTGTAAGGATGAATATAGTGAGTGAGAAAGAGAAAGTGTGGAGTGTGTTGTAGTAGTGGCGGCGGCGGTGGCGGCCATGACAGTGGCGGCGGAGTAAGTCTTTTCCCCAGTAGTAGTGACGGCGGTCGGTCGTTCTACTCGTCTACTCTCCCGTCATGGTGAGTGCTGCTCTACTCTTCCCTCTCCTCTCTCTTTCCTCTCCCTGGTGCAGTCTTGGTGGCACTGTGTACCTCCTTCTGGCGACAGTGTGGCCGTGTTGTGTATATATGGCCAGGTGTAGTGTGTAGCGGGCGGCAGCTGGCCCAGGCTGGTGGTGGCGGCCACCCGTGGTCTCGTGGCCCTCCACCCGTGGTCTCTCCCTCCTCGTGGCCCTCCACCCGTGGTCTCTCCCTCCTCGTGGCCCTCCACCCGTGGTCTCCTCGTGGCCCTCCACCCGTGGTCTCCTCGTGGCCCTCCACCCGTGGTCTCCTCGTGGCCCTCCACCCGTGGTCTCCTCGTGGCCCTCCACCCGTGGTCTCCTCGTGGCCCTCCACCCGTGGTCTCCTCGTGGCCCTCCACCCGTGGTCTCCTCGTGGCCCTCCACCCGTGGTCTCCTCGTGGCCCTCCACCCGTGGTCTCCTCGTGGCCCTCCACCCGTGGTCTCCTCGTGGCCCTCCACCCGTGGTCTCCTCGTGGCCCTCCACCCGTGGTCTCCTCGTGGCCCTCCACCCGTGGTCTCCTCGTGGCCCTCCACCCGTGGTCTCCTCGTGGCCCTCCACCCGTGGTCTCCTCGTGGCCCTCCACCCGTGGTCTCCTCGTGGCCCTCCACCCGTGGTCTCCTCGTGGCCCTCCACCCGTGGTCTCCTCGTGGCCCTCCACCCGTGGTCTCCTCGTGGCCCTCCACCCGTGGTCTCCTCGTGGCCCTCCACCCGTGGTCTCCTCGTGGCCCTCCACCCGTGGTCTCCTCGTGGCCCTCCACCCGTGGTCTCCTCGTGGCCCTCCACCCGTGGTCTCCTCGTGGCCCTCCACCCGTGGTCTCCTCGTGGCCCTCCACCCGTGGTCTCCTCGTGGCCCTCCACCCGTGGTCTCCTCGTGGCCCTCCACCCGTGGTCTCCTCGTGGCCCTCCACCCGTGGTCTCCTCGTGGCCCTCCACCCGTGGTCTCCTCGTGGCCCTCCACCCGTGGTCTCCTCGTGGCCCTCCACCCGTGGTCTCCTCGTGGCCCTCCACCCGTGGTCTCTCCCTCCTCGTGGCCTCTGGTGGTCCGCCAAACTGGAAAATGCATTGTTCAGTGTCCTGAGATTCAGGACTTTGGGATTTAGTTTTCCTTCCATTGTGTAGAATGTTTCCCGCAGGAGCACCCTGGAGGGTCTAGGCCAGAGGTGGCTCTTTAAGAGTCTTCTGTAATGGCTGGCTTTTACACGGTTGATCCTGCCCTTTCAAGAGTTGACCTTGAAGCCTGACCTGTGGTATTTAGCATGCTTTTTTTGATAATTACACATTTTAATGGTCATCCACAGTTTGTCGTTCATTATATACCTCGTCCTTAGTGGTAGTGTGGTAGGGGGTATCTGGAAAACAACTGCCTCTGAGGAACCACAATCTCTTAAAATTTCTGTAGTTATCACTGTTAATCTGGTAGCTTCTAAATTATAACTATAATTGTTAGTTTTATAAATTCTGGAATTTTTTCATAGTTCATACATAGAGCATTACTTTATACTGAATGTTTACTACCAAGTCTCATTACTATTATTAGTCTCATTACTCTTCCTGGCATTACTATTTGGTATGCTTTTTCCACATCTAAATACTAGTATTCTACATTCTGACCAAGACTGAACTGTCGGGTTTTCAGCCTTCCCTCCGTGTACCCTTTGATTATGTCTATGTACTTTTGTAATAACAAAAAGTATACAGAATAATGTTAAATTTATTAGTAAATAATACCAATAATTTGTTGGACAGGAAGCCTCTGTGTACTGTATATATCTTTGGCTTGTATCTAGACCCTGCCCCCTGCCCATCTCCATGATAGAACTCCTGACTCAATGTTGCAACCCCACAACAGTTGCCTAAATCTGTGTTCCTATTTACTGCTAGGTGAACAGAGTCATTAGATGAAAGGAAACATGAACTATGTGTCCTCTTATCTTGATTTCGGGGCTTTAGTGTCCCCTGGCCCGGTCCTTGACCAGGCCTCCACCCCCCAGGAAGCAGCCCGTCACAGCTGACTTACACCCAGGTACCTATTTACTGCTAGGTAACAGGGGCATAGGGTGAAAAAAACTGCCCATTGTTTCTCCCCGGCGCCCGGGATCGAACCCGGGACCACAGGATCACAAGTCCAGCGTGCTGTCCGCTCGGCCGACTGGCTCCAGGACCGGCCGTCCTGCCCTGGGGTTTGTACCTGGGACTTCCAATTATAAGTTGAACAAAGCTAATTACTTTGTGACTAATAAATGGATAACTACATAATCATTTTAATTTATTTCCATGAGCATAAACATCAAAACAAAAATAACTTAATTCACCATATGTGGCTGTGCATTATTAATTTCCAGGCTAATGTACAGTACTTGCTTTTAAATGTATTAAACTAATAATTTTGTTTACAAAATATTTTGCACAATCTTCACTTCCTTCAGTTCTAGGTACTGTATATCATTCTAGGTCAAGTAGGTAGGTAAACCTATTAGTAAGTAGAATTAACTACTAGTTAATTTATTACTAGAATTAACTACTAGTAGTTAATTCTGTATTGCATGAATTAGTGGTTTCGTTCAACTGACCTCGCCTGGTTGACCAAACTCGACCAGGAGGCCTGGTCAGAGACTGCTACAAAGCCGCCCTGCTGTCAGAGGGCCCCCTGGAATCGATGCAAGGTAAATAGATAGCAAATGTACCTATAGTACATTCACATGTACCACGTACAAGGGGCCTGACAGTCGAGTGGACAGCGCTCAGGATTTGTAGTCCTGAGGTTCCAGTTTCGATCCTCGGTGGAGGCAGAAACAAATGGGCAGTCTTTCACACTGATGCCCCTGTTCCCCTAGCAGTAAATAGGTACCTGGGAGTTACAGCTGCTTCGGGCTGCTTCCTGGGAGGGTGTAACAAAAAGGAGGCTTGGTTGAGGAACGAGTCGTGGGGTTTAAGCCCCAAAATCATCTAAAAAATCTCAAGAAGTTGACAAGGTTATTTTAATTTTGAACAAGCAAGTTTGATATTTATAGACCTGTCGTGTATGTTGCTGGACAGTTGTCTACCAATGCCAGAGTATAGTTTACCACCATATTGTTCTCCCAGCATAATTTGGACTTTGGTATCTGTTGGGATTAGCCTCTCCAATGGAGTAAGGTTTTCTGCTGAGCAGTCCTCAGTGAAAAGAACACAGGAAGCATGAAAATCAGTTTTGGTGAATGCTTCCAGCATGATCCAGTCTTATTTGTCTGTGCTTGAATTAAATGTTAACATATTTTTCTCATGACAACTTTGCAAATAATTCATTGTAATAGGTTTTAACAATAAGTCCGGTATCCCATTTGCCTTATTCTGTAATTGTTTTGAAGTTTTTCTTAACTGTATTCTAAATGTGACTGTTTGCATTCTGATTGTCAATTATAAACTAAACATCCAGCAGATTAAATTGTACTGTATCTGCCAATCTGTTGTACATTGTTGAAGCCCATTTAGTCTAATGCAGTTGACAATGTATTTCACACCCTAATTTTAGTTAGCAAATTTGTAATGACAGGTTCCAGGACAGCTCTTTCTACCACTCCTGCTACTTCACTTTATTTTGAATACACTACATATATGCATTTTCCCTCGATAACCTTACCCAATTTAGTATAGCACCCACAATCTGTTTGACCCAGAGGAACAATGTACTATGTTTGCACTTTTGTTAATTATTAACTTCATATAAATGGAGATACAATTAGAAATATAAATTTCCTGATAATGGCTCTTGGGCCTAACCCAGATGGTGTCTGGTGCTATAATATCCCCTGACCCTGTTGAATAAGATGTTTGACTAGCTTAATATTGACAAGTTTATCAACTCCTTCAATTTTCAGGCAACAAGTTGTGCACGCCCCTTAGTGGGTGTCCATGCTGATGGTGTGGTGTCCGGAGTGAGTGTGTCACTCCCAGCTGTATTCCGTGCTCCCATTAGGCCAGACGTGGTTAATTTTGTCCATGACCAAATGGCCAAGAACACTCGGCAGCCATATGCCGTAAACAAGGATGCAGGTTAGTTTTTCTTAAATATGTAATAATTGTAGTGTTGCCCTTTTAACTACAGTATTTAGCCACCAATTGTTATTTTATTTATTATGGTCTCGGAATGGCATATAATGTTCATTCTCCTCGATTCAATTGTTTGAGTATAATTTAACTGTAAAACATTTTTTGAATGTGGCCATCTAAATATGTGCCAAATTTATACTCAATATTTATAACTCCAAATGTTATGGCTTTGACTAAATGATTCAGAGGAAACCTTAGAACTAAGAACTTTGCATGTATATAAAAAGTAAGAATCGGTCAAACTGGAGTTTTAATTGTCTCGGTTGAAAATGTTCATAGAGAAAAATTGCATTTAAAGTTCTTGGACAATGAATATAGTACTTCTAATTTGACATATCTTGTAAGTTTTAATTAAGATTGCTGAGCATTCATAGTGGAAAATGAGTGGTAGGTCAATGTGTTGAAATGAATTAAAGAAAAAAAAATGGGGTATGTTAGGGATAACTGTAAAAGACACTGGGCCCCTTATCTAACCGAAGGTTAGACATGTATATGAATGAGATTGAATGGATATAAATAGGAGCTGCCTCGTATGGGTCAATAGGCCTTCTGCAGTTACCTTTATTCTTATGTTCTTATAATGAAACATGCAGTAACTTTATTGACCATGTATGCGATAAGACCCTCATCTGGTCCTCTTTCATTAATTCAAACTAAATAAAAAAATAGTTTGAACTGTAAATAAATTGGCTAAAAAAAGTTAACTATTAACATGTTGACCAATTTCGTTCCAACTTATGCTTAGTGCCGGATATGCATTCTCAAATATGAAGGAGTTACAGCAAAATCTGCATAAAAATAGAAAAAATACAAATAAGTGGTTGTCACCTTTTTGTAGAAAGGGACATAAGAAATATTGGCATTGGGCAATGTATGTACAGTATGATATATAATAGAATACAGCATAACATACTACCTCATTATTGTGTGAAATCTGGTCCTCCAAGTGGCACTAGCTGCATATCCATTTTGTAGACCTTCCTTACCACCACCAATCTTCTTTGTGCATCAGACAGGTGCTTGCATCTATTCCTGATTGCCAGTAAATTGGTGTTATTGTTATCAGTACCGGTTGTTTCCCATCACATGTGCATTTATTTTTTTTTTTTTAATTTGTAAAAAATCCATTTCTTAACTATTTGGATGAAATTTTCACGATGCAGATGCCAAATATTCAAAAGTTTTCATTGTATTTCATATTTTGAAGTTTCCCCATGCACTAGGCCCCTTCAGTTATATAGGCATGTGGGTTGGAGACCTTGTATTTTGTATTTGGGATGATTACTTCGAGTTATGTGGCAGGCATTTCAGCTGGTTTTGGCAGTTTGGGAGGCTTGGGTCAGTTGAGTGACATCTGAGGTATTTGGCACAACAACTTGGCTGCATATTCAGGTATTCCCTTTGAATACCTGAAGGGAAAGCCAAAAGTTTTGGCTTTCCAAGTTTTTGGGGGTTTGGGAATGGTTTGAAGCCACCAAAATTGCCACCAGTTTTGGTGGCTGGCAACTTCAACCAGTTTCCATTTTACGGTAACAAATTCATGTCGGTTTGATCAGTCATAATTTTTGCCAATTCTAAACTTCTGACATTCCTTGTAAAATTAAGAATTGTCTGCAGTTTTACGATATAGGAGCTGTTACCTGTCTTTTCTTTTCCTCCGTATTATACCAACTGCCTGTGCTAATGGTATTTTGCACTTTATGCAGGGAATTACAGCACTGGCTCTGAAGCAATGCATAGATAAATTGTCACTAGGCTAAGGCTGTAGGGTTGATATAACTTTGTGTGGGTAGTTATGAAGTTGTCCTAACTTTTCATAATGTCTGTTACATTGCATAATTCACATGGTTCTTTCAGGATTGAGCTAAATTCTGAATTTTTTGGTGTACATTCTATTTGTAAGTAGGGACCTATACTTGCTGGGGATTTTGTTTATTTCCTAGGTAGTTTTTTCTAGGGTGGCTTTATGCTATTCTTAACTCTTCTGCAGAGTCATACAGGGATGGCCACTGCATATCTAACCAACCTGTGCCTAGTCGTCTAGGGATAATTTAACATGCCGCATAAGATTTAAAACTCCTGCAGGTACACAAGGTTAAAATATACTTTCTCAGGCCTCCAGTAAATTCCATTTAAAAAAAAATTGTGGTCACTGTTGCCAGGTGTGAAGGCCTCAGTACTGAGTGAACAACCAAGCACATGCAGGATGAGCTAACACTGTTCAGCTTGCGTCCACAGATAATTGAAGTGACAAAATATATAAGTACTGTAATTGCTACTTTGCAATGATAGTATCATAGAAGATCCTTACTGATACTGTACAATGTTCAGATAAGTGAACACAATGCTGTTTATGATCACAGCATGACAAATGGCACATTGCCATTGTTTGGTGCAACTAAGCATCTTGAACTACAGCTTATTTTACTTTAGAAAACCAGCTTCTAGAAAAATATTCATCTTCAGGCTCTGGTGACCAGGATTCTGATAATAGCATTGTACCTAGAATTAGAGATGCATGTTGGGAGGGAGAACTATTGCAGTTGAGTGGCATCGACTGACTAGCGTGTGGTGCAAGGTTGTAAGACTCGCCACAACACCTTAGAGATTGTGTTGCACAAGAATGATCAGGAATGTAGATCATTTCTATTGTGTGTATTGTGTAATAACTGCATACAAATGTTTTATTGTTCACATGTTAACATTTAAAATACTAACATTTTCCTGTCCCGGCGTGCGTTCCCTAGCCTACCTCTAGGTGCGCCGAGTTTTCTGGGAGTTTGCAGCCAGCCTCAAATGTGTATTTAGTACTGTTTTCAGTGTTCTCGCTTCAATTTTCATGTTACAGCGTTCATTTTAGTATCTTTTGCAATAGAACTCCCTAACTGAATTTTAACACTTTGGCGTACCCAGCGCGCCACCCCTCAACTGTGTGATTTGGGTCCCAGCATTTTACGGGAGCGTGCGTTAATTCTGAAAAGTGTATATACTCTTTTCAACTTTGTCACCTCAATTCTCGTCCTACGAGATTAAATTTTGTATCATTGTGTTCGCAATAAAATTCTCTACAGCACTAAATGCATAAAAACTCCAAAAGCCCGGCTAATTACCTGCAGCAAAAAGAGAAAGTGTGAACGAGTTACCCAGGAGTGCGCAAAAGCGATAAAATGTGTTCACTCTTTTTAGTCTGGTCACCTCAGTTTTCGTCCTAGGTCTTTCATTTTGGTATCAATGGGTTCGCAATAGAATTCTCTAGAGGAATATTAGCATATAAAATAAAAAAAAACCTGGTCACGCTCCACCCGCTGACGCGTTATCTTGAGGTTATCTCGATGATTTCGGGGCTTTTTAGTGTCCCCGCGGCCCGGTCCTCGACCAGGCCTCCACCCCCAGGAAGCAGCCCGTGACAGCTGACTAACTCCCAGGTACCTATTTTACTGCTAGGTAACAGGGGCATAGGGTGAAAGAAACTCTGCCCAATGTTTCTCGCCGGCGCCTGGGATCGAACCCAGGACCACAGGATCACAAGTCCAGCGTGCTGTTCGCTCGGCCGACCAGCTTCTCCGACCGCATTGAAGACGGGCCACGCGTTAACCGCGAGTGAGCGTCCAGACGCCTTCCAGCTACACTCCCAATTCCTGCCCACAAATGTGTAGTATTTTAGTATATTTAGTATAATTTCATATTTTTTGTGTAGTAGCTGTACATCACACAAGCATTGTAGATAGCCATTTGCACAAAATAGGTCATTTTCTTCGTCCATTTGTGAGTCTTCCTTATGAAGTGATATTTGATCATTTGGTCAAAGTGATCAACACCTTTCATGTTTGTATTGTAGTCAGATTGCATTCATCTTGACAGTTACCAAACAGCCCCCAAAAATCGGATAAAAACCTGATTTTTGGCGATTATTTTAGTGGACGACGCAGCATTGCGTCATGCCCGTAATTACCGACAGTAAATGGACGACGCAGCATTGCGTCATGCCCGGGCGAAAGTGTTAACTTGTTTAAATTTTGGATGCAAAATGCGTCCCAGACTGACATTTGCAGTTATTGCAATATCCATTGCTGATGACTGAAAGTGTTAATATCCCCCTCTGAAAAAAATAAATATTCTGATAGTTAACCCTTGACACTTTCGCACTCTCGTAACGCCACTGGCGTCCTCAATTTTTCTCTTGTGACAGCCGGAGACGCGAGCGGCATCCAAATTTTAAAATTTATTAAAAATTAAAATTTTATCCAATCCAATCAATTTCAATCTGGGAGTGGTTTTAAAATAGTGTCTTTAGATTGCGTGCAATTTGATACCAAAATGAAAGATGTAACACGAAAATTGATGTCAGATAGATAAAGATATAAATAATTTTATGTGCGTCCAAAATTTAAAATGTTAAAAATTCTATTTATTGCTCTATTGTTATGGGACTCATTTTAAAATATGCGCTTTTATATTGCGAACAATTTGATACCAAAAAGAAAGACTTAACACGAAAATTGATAGTTATCAAACTGAACGAGTATATACAGTACATTAGGTTGCGGGTGTGCCAATTGGTGCTCGTTCACAGATAACTTCAGGCTTTGCGGCAGGGAGTCATTCCACGCTTTTGGACATAATATGCATATACACCTGCAGGGAATTCTATTGCGAACACTGACAGGTAACTTTTGCCAACTTTAGGCTTTGCTGTGGGGAGTCATTCCGGGCATTATATGCGTATACACCTGTAGGGAATTAAATTGCCAACACAGTACCAAAATGAACGACGTAGCACGAGAATTTAGGTGAGAAAACGGAAACGAGTATACACATTTCGGTGTCGCCGCGCGCTCGCCCGCACTGCCGGGGCATGACCTCCAAGTTTGCGGCGCACACGCCCAGGGCGCGAAAGTGTTAAATTGCAAATTGATTGTGTATATGCAAATTGTATAATAGAATTTGGGTAAATGTTGCTGAACTGCGCACATTGTATATATATACTGTATATAAAATTAAGGGTGCCGTGCATGATTTAAACCCCGCGGTTGCATGGGGAGTCACATCAGTTTCCTTAAGGCTCTAGTAAACAGACGGCATTTAAAAAAATATTGTGGGTAACATTCCAGGATGTTGAAGCCTCAGTACTGAGTGAGCAACCATCAAAGGCTGGTGCATGCAGCATGAGCTAACAGCACTGCTGTTCAGCTTGTGACCAAAGCATCGCCTAAAAATGTCGATATACTGTATTTGTAACTGCTATTATTTAACGGTGATAGTATTACAGAAGACCCCTGACTGATAAAAATGACCAGGATTCTGATAATAGCAGGATTGTGGTGATAATTAGCGCTGTGTGTGTAGTGTTGGTGAGGGAGGGAGGGAGGGTCAGCTGACTGTGGCAACCTGTTATTCTGAGCTCACCATACCAACTTAGTTATACAGTTCTGGTGAACAAAATGTGTAGATACTTGTTTATAACATCTGTATATAGTAAATACAACCAAAGACAGTATGGTGGGAGGAGGAATGTTGGTGAATGAGGGAGGTGGCATTTGCAGACTGATGTGTGGTGGCCACTCTTGTTGTTTTGACTCGCCATACCAACTTAGTGGTTCGCTGTGGTGAACAAAACGTGCAGATACTTATATATAACGTGTGTGTAATATAAAATGTAACAGTAAAACTAGTATTTTTCTTTAATGAACATTAATTGAATCACTAATATGCACACCATACTTTTTTTTTAATATGGCTGGTTCTCACATCGCACAACACTTCATGAATTACTGCCAAAAAACGAAGAAAGTCATTGAAATAATTAGGTAATATCTGTGGCATTTCTTGCCTGACCACCTCAGTCGCTTACTGTCGACTCCTCACTTTTGCGAAGACTTCCTTGCCCTATTGCAAATTGGAGATGGCATGTGGGCAAGGGTGGCGCTCAGAGCTACAACTGGATACGCTCACTGTATTGTCCTAATAGGGGCTGTATCACTTGCATCCTGTTAGGTCCTTATTGGGCCTAACTTCATCAGTATTATGACCCTTATGATCTTCAAGCAATAAGGTCTGAATTTCACCGACAGCGATCACCAACAGCGACCTTTCAACACCGCGTCGGACAAGTGCTTGGGAGCCAGAGGCGCATGTGCCACTCAAGGTTGCTTACTCAGTATTAACCCAGCCAGCAGCCCTAAGACATTTAGAATTTTTTCCAAGATGGCTGTCTCATTGGCGTTCTCAAGAGTCCATTTCGTACCCAACCTACCGCGGCTGAGTTTAGACCGTGTATGGAAAAAAAGATACTTTTGTTGGTTGGCGTAGTAATTGGTGAATGGCACTAGTCGTTTGGCACAGTGCAGTGGTTAAGGGTCAAGCATCATTTCCTTGCCAATCCTCTTGTATATTAAAGGTCTGCTCTTTCCTATTCCTTGTTGGTCATGTGCAGGTGGGTTTGCCCTCTGGGCGATTTACAGTTACAGTAGGTTTCCAGACTTGTTTATGGGTCCAGAAATGGCGTCAGGTGTTCTGTTTTTCCCATCTATTTCCATGTTTTCCTTTTCTTGGTTCTGTATTTATGGAAAGAACCGAATACATAATTTTGCACGTTAATTTCTTAATTCATTTGTTAGAGTGATGTGGTGTAGGAAATTTGGTAGGTTTAAGTTCTGCGTTTTTAGGGAAAAGTATAGTAGTTTTACAAAGATTTTTGGTTATGACTTTTCTGCATGCTTTTTTACTAGTAACTAAAGTAAATTGGCTTTAGTTTTCCTGGAAAAGTAATTAAACGTTTTTATCCAAAATTATCATTGGCGTTTCCATTATTATTATTTACAGTATTTTCCTGTTGTCTTAACCCTGTTGGAACTTACTGGTTCTAATGGGACTGAGGTTGAAATTGTAAAAAATAACTAGTTTTAGTGTTTTGATGTATTTTACCTCCTAAATTAAGAACTATCAGTTAGGTGTTGTAGATTAGTAGCTGGCTTCAGTGCTGAGAAAGGCACTTGCCAGTTTTTTCAGAAAGTGCAGGAAGGAAATGGGATTCAAGCTATGTTGTATCGCATATTAATTTGCCTGCAGATATAAATGACCACTTATGATAGGTGCGTTGTCCCATTATGGATTGTGCACAGAAAGAAGTGGCACAATTTGCCAAGTTTAATACAGTACTTCAACAAGTGATTAAACACGCCAATAAATTTTGAAGTTTTGGATGTCTTGTCACAAAGGCTATTATTTTAAAATTACTATAAAAGCATAATAGTAAATATTAAATCAAAATAGCTGTAGCCTAATCATTTCTCTCAATTCAGATTTTTCATTAGACATCAACAGCAAATTATAGAATGTTCGTTTTGGGAGAATGAACATTATTGTTGGAAATTTCCAAATGGGTCAGCTTACATTACATTGTAATGTATTTATGCTGTTTGTGAAATGTATGTATGCCATTTTAACTGTTGCCAGAATTTGCCTATAGTGTAGCTCACTTGTAGGTCACCAGACATCAGCTGAATCATGGGGCACTGGTCGCGCTGTTGCTCGTATTCCTCGTGTGCGTGGCGGCGGCACTCATCGTTCTGGACAGGGTGCCTTTGGCAACATGTGCCGTGGAGGTCGGATGTTTGCTCCAACAAAGACTTGGCGACGCTGGCACCGCAGGATTGGTGTCAACCAGAAGCGTTATGCCATGTGTTCTGCCATTGCTGCCACCTCGAGTCCAGCACTTGTCATGTCTAAAGGTGAGGCATTAACAAATTAAAGATGCTCAGATGTGAAAGTTATTTCAATGCATTGTTAAAGTTGTCAACTATATTTGAGATTAAAAAATTGAATCTACAGTGGTTACTTTGATTTTTATGCATTGTATTAATGCAATTATCTAAATATATAACTAATAAACATGTATACATACAATAATATACATTTCAGGTCACATGATTCAGGAGGTCCCAGAGATGCCGTTAGTAGTGTCTGACAAAGTACAAGAGATGACAAAGACTAAAGAAGCTGTCCTGATGTTGAAGAAACATCGTGCATGGACTGACATTCTGAAGGTAACTATGCTTTCAATGTTTTGCAAAGTGTGACATATAGGTCACAGCATTTGACTGGGCCTAAACATCTCTTTAAATTCTGATGTTTTAAATGATGAATAACATCCTCTTGGTCCGTGTTTATGAAAGACATGATTCTGTGAAGAGGTCTGATGTGTGGTGTAATATGTACCTTGTTTATTTTTGGTTAAAATGCTTAATAGTTAATGTCTTCAGGTATACAAGAGCAAGAGGTTCCGTGCTGGTAAGGGTAAGATGCGTAACAGGCGTCGCATCCAGCGGACTGGGCCACTTGTCATATACAACAAAGATCAAGGATTGACTCGGGCCTTCCGTAACATTCCTGGTGTTGACACCATCTGTGTTGAAAAGCTTAACCTGTTGAAGCTTGCACCTGGTGGCCATGTTGGCAGATTCTGCATTTGGACTGAATCTGGTAAGTACTTGTATATTATCTATGTAGTCTTCTAATAGACAGAATTTGCTTCGTTAATCCTTTGAGCAAATACAGAAATTAATGATTATATTAACTGGATACATAAATTAATGTAATTAAGCCTATTATGCATTTGGCAGTTAGCCAAATGATACATAATAAACCTAAAAAGACAAGGTTTATAAGGAAGATTTAATTTTAATTACAATTTTACATGAGGCATTATAATTTTCACTACCCATTTTCCCTTCCCTGAAGTTTATGAAACATTAACAATGTTTGCATCAAATTATGGTGAAAGGACTTCCTGATAAGCTTTGTGTCTGGCTTTATGGCAGAAGATAGCTGTAAAGATTTGGTTGAGGATGACTTTGTAATATGAAGAGAGTACCTGTTGTACAGTATTGGCTACATTTTAGAATGGCTCAAGATTTTTTGCAGTTATGGGATAATTTAAATGTCATGCAGTATGTTACTGGCATTTCTTACATACAGCTTGTCCACTGCCCTACAACCCACCAGCCACCACACAAGCACCCCACCCTACAACCCACCAGCCACCACACAAGCACTCCACCCCTACAACCCACCAGCCACCACACAAACGCCTCTCCCCTACAACCCACCAGCCACCACACAAACACCCCACCCTACAACCCACCAGCCACCACACAAGCACTCCACCCCTACAATCCACCAGCCACCACACAAGCACCTCCCCCCTACAACCCACCAGCCACCACACAAGCACCCCACCCCTTGCTAGCACCAGCCTCCCCATGCACACACCCCTCCCGGCTAACACCAGCCACCACACAAGCACCCCACCCCTTGCTAACACCAGCCTCCCCATGCACAACCCCCTCCTCCCGGCTAACACCAGCCTCCCCATGCACACCCCCCTCCTCCCGGCTAACGCCAGCCACCACACAAGCACCCCATACTAACAACACGGACACATCCATCTGGTTACACATTGTATCAATTATTTTGGTGATAAGGAAATATTTTTCTTCAGCATTCCGCAAGTTGGACTCGCTCTATGGAACATGGCGTAAAGAATCGAGGAGGAAGAAGAATTATAACCTTCCAATGCCCAAGATGACAAACACTGATTTGGCTCGTATTCTAAAGTCTGAAGAAATTCAGTCTGCTATCCGGCCTCCTAAGTAAGTTCTTCATAATTTTTTACCTGGATACATTGTTTCACGACTGATAGTAACTTATTGAACTAGATCAATATTAAACGTTTCAATTATGGATTGTTTGTACATACTAGTACTATCACTGAGAACATGGGGACACTAATTAGGATTGATTCGATCAGATTTCGTTCGACTAAACCCTTGCAGGTTACCTTGCGTTGCTTTAAGAAATCAATTTCCCCTTGGCCCAGTCTTTGACAAGGTCTATTGCCAGTTTAGGACCTGTCAATACTTTTGAATTTCCAGTTTAGTGTGATCACATAAACTGGTATTTAGGTACAATGTACTAGAGTTTTGGGCAGTTCTAATTGCCTAAGAATGTTGAGTAACACGAACCCAAGAATTTTTCCTGTTAGTGCGAGGTACACGCACACTATCATTATAGGGGACCAAATACACACCGTGTTGCAGAGGGAAATGAGTTCTTGATTAAAAAAATAATTCATAGAATTAATTATCTTGTCTATATGGTGTCCTAATGGTCATATGGACAAGAGTATAGATTGAAACGAAGGTATAAGCCACTAATATACACCCACAGATATTCATAACTGTATTTACCTAGTAACTTTTGAGTAACTAATGAGACTTTAAAGGGTCTAGGTAAACTCCCATTATATCCTCATAAACCTATTATATCCTTATTTGCATCATGTAAAACCCAAACAATAATTTGTCATGATGAATATTTGTATTTATACATACATGTTACATTCCTGTACAGCCACTAGCACCAATAGCTTTTTTGGGGAAGTTCTTTAATCCTAATTTTCCCTGGAATATGACCCAAGTTGTTTAACCACCAGGTACCCATTCACTGCTGGGTAGTAAATCTTCCCCGGCTAGAACACAAACCCAGGCCAAACAATAACCGCATTATACCGTGAATCAACATTCAATAATTGCCTAGGGATTAGTTCTTAAATTAATATATGGTATTGTGATAGCCGAGTCAGACATGATTTTAGTTGGCACACGTTTGATAACTTTTTGATCATTTTGGAAATTGACACAATTCAATATTTTTCTCCCTTCCTATTTATGCTACGATGCTGAAACTTGGACCAGATGAAACCCTTTTCATATACAACACGTCAAAAAAGTTTGATTGAAATCGAACCAGTTTTCACTTTTGGCATATTTGAATCTAATCCCCTCTTAATATTAGAATTATAATGAATGTATGCACACACACACTGGTAGGTTTCTTGTAAACATTAAATTTAAAACTGTTGACTGGATCATGATTTCCAAAAAAGGAAGCTCTCCATTCTCTTCATCCTCATTTATGAATTTGATTGAAGGAACCAAGGAATTAAGTTTATTAATAAAATCTATTTAGTGTTGATTAACCTGCCACAAACACAATATCAACGTATCTAAACCAAGCCATGTTAGCGGGGAAAATCGTGATTAAGATTTTGGTTTCAAAACTCCATATACAAATTGGTTAGACCAGGGCTGAAGATTGCCCATTGCCATGCCAAATTGCTTAAAAAAATTGTCCATTAAATGTTTAAGTAATTCTTATGCACAATATAAGCTCAACAGCGGTATTAGTAGGCAAGGCCATTTTATAGTTGGGAAGCTCATCTTGCAGGAAAGCTAACAAATTGTCAAGAACTTTGAACATGGTGAACAAGGCTGTCATGTCAAAACTTGACAGGTTATTGCTAGTTGGAGGGGGGGTTTGTCAAACGAAATTTGGAAGACTGCCCTAATTAATCATTTAAGCTTCTCATTGTTAGTACTGGTATATACAGACTAGATCCATATTTAATTTTCAGTGTTGAACAGCTTACGAAAAACCTTTGATAGGGATCATTACAGAGTCGAGGTGTTTCCCTGCCTTGTATTTCAATAGCATTTGATTGTTCCACAGCCGTGAATATAGGTGGCTTTTGTTAGGATTTTTATCAGTATTCTTATGTTTAGGTTATGGGATATTTTTTTCCACAGCCCTAAATACTGGTGGCTTGTGATGTGATTTTCCATTAGTATACTATAGTTGCAGTTGTCTGTTTGTGAGCAACTAATGATGTTTGCCTTGGGATCAAAAAAAATTTCCCCCTATGCTTAACAATTCCTTATTTAATAGTTCACTTGTTCTACATACTGTATAAGCTTGCTTATCCAAATTATATGGCAAGGCAGGTATGCCATTTCCCCCCCCCCCCTCCCCTTCCCTTCCTGCCAGATAAGCCTGACATGCAATTTCAGGATTTTTAGAAAAACAATTTTGTAGTGGGGAAGTCCAAAAGTGAACATTTGTAATTTTTTTGTACCACAAACAACATAATTTGAATTTGTGTGTGGCTGGCAGGCAGGCACACGACATTAACACTTTGGCGTACCCCGCGCGCCACCCCTCAACTGTGCGATATGGGACCCAGGGTGTCACGGGAGCGCGCGTAAATTCTGAAAGGTGTATACTCTCCAACTTTGTCACCTTAATTCTCGTCCTACGAGATTAAATTTTGTATCATTGTGTTCGCAATAGAATTCTCTACAGCACTAAATGCATATAAACTCCAAAAGCATGGCTAATTACCCGCAGCAAACAGAGAAAGTGCGAACGAGTTACCCAGGAGCGCGCAAACGCGATAAAATGTTTTCACTATTTTCACTCTGGTCACCTCATTTTTCGTCCTAGGTCTTTCATTTTGGTCTCAATAGGTTCGCAATAGAGTTCTCTAGAGGAACATTAGCATATAAAATAAAAAACCTGGTCACTCTCCAACCGCCGACGAGTTGAAGACTGGCCACGCGTTAGCCGCAAGTGAGTGCTCAGACGCCTTCCAGCTACACTCCCAATTCCCGCCCTTTTCAAGCCTTTCTTTCGCAATTTTCTTCCTGGAAGGGCCTTGTTCATGATCACTATCCATCGTGGAGTAAGCGTAGATAGTTTCTAAAGCCGCAGTAAGACATATGCCACGGAAAATAGCCAAAATGTTCACACGTTTGAGATGCGAGGGGAGGCGACATTGGGCACAACAGTGGAGCGAAAACAATGGGCCCCACAGCGTGTGCCAAGCCGCCTGAGGGCCACAAGGCTCAACAAAGAAAATGGGAAGACATCGGCGCGCATTTTAAAACCAGTCCCCCAAAAATCTGATAAACCCGATTTTTGGCGATTATTTAAAGTGGATGACGCAATGCTGCGTCATCCCCGGCATTACCGACAGTAAACGGATGACGCAATGCTGCGTCATGCCCGGGCGAAAGTGTTAAAAAGACCTACCTCACCCACAACCACATTCAGATTCTCGCATCCCACCCCAGATGCCCTGCTTGTCTGCCTGCTTTGGCTCCCACCTTTCCCAATTACCTTTCCCTTCCTCCAACAATCTTCCCCCTACCCATGCCATACCTGCTCTCCCCCCTCTCTCCTCGCAGCTCTTCCAGAATGGTCCCAGCCATGTCCAACAGCACATAGTTACTAAACTTTGTGACTGACTACATATTAATCTATCTAATTAGCATTTTTTAAGGGGCTGGTTGTTTATTTACAGCAAAATTGTTACCCGTCGCAAGATCAAGAAGAACCCACTGTCCAACCGCCATGCTCTTCTTCATCTTAATCCATTTGCTAGAGTTGAAAAGAAGGCAGCAACTATTGAGCAAAAGAAGCGCATTGAGGCAAAGGCTGCCCTGGAAGCGAAGAGAAGTGCAGTATGTATTTTTATTTTTATTTTTGTATTTCATGCCTTTAGATAACTTAATACATCATTCTCGTTACTACCATAAGCTAATTTTTTTTTTTTTACCTCCCCAGGCCAAGAAATAACTTGCACTGCAGCTTGGAGTCTTCCTGTGCAGTTATCTTAATAAAGAGTTCAAGAATTTGCAGTATTACTGACCTTTGAGGATAGAAGATCAAAGTTCTATATATCACTGTTTTTAAAAATAACTTGATGCTCTAAAAAGTTATGAAGGGTCATTCATGAAAGGAAAATAATACATGATTGTTTTAAAGTCTAATTTGGGAAAGATAAGACTGGCCAGATGTGTGTAGTAGTAGTAGTAATTCACTGTTAGGTATTGTGCAGCAAGAACATGGAAATAGTTTAAGCACAAAGTAGTGGATAAAAAAAACGTTGTGAATTTTATGTAAATATTTAGTCTTGCACACCTGAGTGTTTTATGCAAGTCTTAAGCATGTGGTTAGGATGAGACTTTCATCTCGACGACTAATCATTTTGCACTCGGGAAAGTGCGAAAGACTAAATCTTTTACATAAATGACATACACAAGTGTGGGTTTTTATCCTGTAATTTGTGTAAGAAGACATTGCCATTACTTGCTACAAATGGTATGCATCATGGCTAAAGTTAGGAATGGGCCATGGAGCAACAAAAGTGCAAAGATTGTTTTTGTATTGTTGCACGATACTCAAATTTAATTAGCGGTGTGCATATATAATGGACTTCAAAAACTGATACTGTATTGCATTTTCAGTTGAAATTCCATGACAGTAGAAAATAGTGCTTGTGTACTTGTCAACATGTCATTGACGTATTCTACATTATAATGGTAAGTACTGTTTGATGATGGTAGGATAACTTGCTTGACTAGTTCATACTACCGAATGGAATTTGTCATTACAATACTGAATAATGTCTTAGAGCATTAAGTCATTGCCACAAGTGAACTATATCAGGTGCAGGGTATAGGGAAAACTGGATAGGAATAAATACAGCTAGAGCTGGGTGGAAGAGGCAATAACTTTACTGGCTGTATGAGCAGCCAGTCAAGTTATTTCCCATTTGTTAAAGTGGGAAAGTTGAGACATGCAATTATGTTTTAAGAATGTAATAAAAATATTTACTGGCATTAGTACTGATAGGTGCAGACATCTAGGCTTTATTAGGAAAGTCATTGATGTATGTAAGGAAACTAAGCTAAGAGTTCTTAATATTGATCTGAAGCCTTAACAATGTTATTTTTTATTAGGAAAACTTGTTTCAGTGGAAGTATATAATACCAGGATGAAGCTAGTCAACTATGCTAGTCTTCATTTATGTTGGTCAACATATTTAATAAGAATTCACATGTTGAGCAAATGTGCTCCAATTGAGCTTGATTTTTATATTATATATATGTATATAATATAATTATAATTTTTTTTAGACTATTTATAAGCAAAGTATAAAACTTGCAGGGGGGGGGGGGGGGTTAGTTTTACACAAGTTTAGAAAATGTGTCTAATAGTGGGGAAAAAGTTGAGAAACTTGTAGAACAATTATTTGTCAACATTGACAAATTAAAAAAAATAGGCATTAGACTGTTGGGTGTATTGGTAAAATTTAAGTGTTTTGAGAGTATACTACGAAAATGCACCCGATAGAGAATGATAATTGAGGATTATAGCAATATGGGCTGTGAATAATGTATTAGACCATTTTGATGTTACCTATTTATTTATCACTTATTTGTCTCTAGGCTGATGGGTTCCCATGGTTAAGGTGGAGAAACTGTAATGTCTGTTGACAGGAATTGGCCTGCATCCATCTGATGTAGTGAAGCTCGAGTGTATTGATGGTGTTTACCCTGGTGACCTAAAGTTGTTTCCCTGGTCTGAAGGACTTAGACTAAGTAAGTAGACTGACCTAATTTTTTTTCTGTATATTTAATGATGAATAATCCTCTTGGTCCGTGTTTATGAGCAAGTTGATTCTATTAAGAGGTCTGACTTTTGTTAATGAGCAACAAAATGATTATTATTGAATAGTTGTATATTATTGATGTAATGTATTTTCTTCTTGCAGGGGCCTTGATTTGCTTCAAGTAATGGAAGCCAATTGTGGGATTTTCACATGGTATGTGTTTCTTTGAAATGTTTTGTTCATAAGGCATGATGGAAAACTAGTTTGCAACTCAAACAGGTTTATAACACTGTTTGTCAAAGCATTATCAGTGATATTTTTCAAAAACATTCTAGGAATTCTCCCAACTTCATCCCATTCTTTGTATACCCCCACATTGCATCCTGACCCAAAGACCTATTGGCCCATTTCATGTGGCTTCTCTTTGTAGCCATTCAGACTTCTTCATAAATGTCAATCCTGTGCTTGAACCATAGTGATCCTATATCAAGTAAACCCGATAAACTGTCCTTTTGCAAACCACCTGCTATAAATTTTATATGGCAGATTATCAGAGTTGACAACAAAATTTATTACTTAGTTTTGTACAGGCATACCTCAGAATAAGAGTTTAATCCGTTCCTGGAGACGCCTCGCCTTCCGAAAACTCGCATTCCGAAGTTAATTTCCCCATAAGAAATAAAGGGAAATGAATTAATCCGTTCCTGACTACCCCAAAAACCCCACATCAAACTAAATTTTTATACCTAATTTACCTAATTCATCTAAATAAACCTACAAAACTGTGTTCCAGTTATTACTTACCTTGCTGTCGAGTGCTGTAGGCGTATGGAAGATGGTGAGGAGGGGGGAGGAGGAGAGGAGTTACTGTTTGGAAGGGGAGTCCCCTTCCATAATCACATCACATAACCCCATGCCTTGTAACACTATGGATACCACTTCTCTTTCTAAATTTTTCAAACCAGCCCCTGCTTGCCTTAAACTCTTTCTTATCTGCATCACTCGTTGCAGGGGTATTCTTTAGAAGGTCTTCGTGCAACACCCTGGCTTTCTCACAAATAATGGCCTCCGAAACACTATCACCCCTCAACTCCTTGTCGTGTATCCAAATTAATAACAACTTTTCCACTTCTTCAAGTATTTGTGGTCTTTGTGCCGTTAATGTTCTTACTCCTTTTGCCACTTTAGCACCCATAATCTTATTTTTCTTCTTAAGTATAGTGCATATTGTTGATGTGGCTTTGTTGTACTGCCTACAAAGTTCAACAACACGTGTACCGTTCTCATGCTTCCGAATGATCTCTTGTTTCTCCTCTATTGTCATCCTCACATGAGCTTTCTGGCCTTTATCCTTACCACTGGCTTTCTTGGGACCCATGGTGAGATATATAATAACAAATTGTATAGACAAATCACCAAAAATCCAACAAAACACTGAAAATCCGCGAGAAGAATTGATGTGGGGGTAGTCACTGAGCGCGAGACAATAATAAACTGAGGGGCGGAGGGGCGACGAACGCGCTAGGTCGGCTGTACGCGTATCAAACTCGCGTCCAAACTCGCCTCCCGAAGTAACCCTCGCCTTCTGAGACAAATTTTTGGAGTAAATACACCTCGCCTTCCGAAAACCTCGCATACAGGGACAATCGCATTCCGAGGTACCACTGTACATGTAAATTTATATATGCCTTTTTTGTTATTCATAAGACAAACTATTAATTATGATATGTAGGGAGGGGTTGTAGCAGTGTAGGTTGACATGTCTTAAGAATAGAATGTCGATTAGGCCTTGGCATTCTTGATAATGTTTAGTAAAGATGAATGATGTTGCTAATATTTTTTTGACTTCATAAATACATAATTTAATAAGATTAATTAAGTACAGTTTGCTTCCAAAACTGTGATGAAACTTCTCAGAGCATTGGGTTATGAAGACCAATGATTATATTCTTGACACCTGATCATATTAATGTAGCAAAATAGGTTTCATTTTTTTTGTAGTTTATCTCAACAATGTCGAATCTCAACAGGAAGATCTTCATGAGGCATTCTACTAGTTTCAGTAAAGGTAACTATTTTGTATTGATACCTATTGATATTTGATATTGATATATATTTGTTTATTAAAACTTTCAATGATTCTTCTGGTTCTTTAAATATTTTTCTAAAACACTTTTCTCCCCTTCATTCCTTATTTTCAAACACGTCCAACTGCATTTCGTGCATTTCCTTAGAACTGGTGTAGTAAGTTATGTATATCTAGCAAGTAGTACATAATTTTGTTTCAAGACTGATAATTTGACCAAACTGGCCATGCTTTTAATGCACTTTAGATCTTGTATTAGTACCCTACATTCTGACAACAAATATGGGAATTAAAAATTAGTATTTTGTGTAAGGTAATTATTTTTTTTGTAGTGTGGTTATCTAAAGAATCACCCCTAGACTTCATGGCCATACTTTGGTATCTGAAGTATTGAATTTTTCTGTTCTTCAGTTACTGTATTTAAACTTTCCCACATTGGTCAGTAATGTCTGTTCTGGAAGCTATTTAATGCCCCAAGTGGTAAAACAACTTACAGAACGTTTTGGCACAATTCAATTCTTGTGCCATTTTACAGAAGACTTGAATGGTATATCTTTACAGTTTATTGACTTAACGAGCAATTAAATATTTGTATTATTTTGTTACAGATTTCCAATGTTGGCATTCACATTATTTATTGTGTACAGTTAAAATGACTATTCCTTTCACATACTACTAGCAAATAATGCATTCAAATTATTTACCCAAAGCTATTAGGTAAAAATTTGTCCATATTTAATAATGGCATCCTACAAATTGAAAAGGAAACCTTTCCGTTGTTAAGAAAGTTGCCTGGTTCTCATTTTAATTCCTCAGAATGCATACTTTCCATTTATTGCTTTATATTGTCATAATATTTATTAATTGGAGCTCTGATATGTCTAGCTTACATATATTGCATCACTTGGCATGTCATGTACAACCTTTCAAGTCGGGAAAGGTATACACAGTCAAATTGGTTAGTGTCTAAATTTAAGAGGTTAATTTGCTTATTTAATGTATTGAATAAGTAACTTTATTCACAAGTAATTTTGTGATGAAACTTTTTAGAGCATTGGGTTATGAAAACCAATGATTATCCATCTTGACACCTGATCATTAAATAAAGCAAGACATTTTTTGTGGGGGTGAATTTCATTAACAATATTTTACTTCAACAGGAGTGGCAAATTTCTGCACGAGGGACACCATAATGAAAGCTTAACGCATAAGTTTCTTCAGTAAAGGTGATTATTACTCTAAAATGAAGGCTTTTTGATACAAAATTGATCATGATGATGCTCTTCAAAGAGCTTAATACGCAAATATGTAATAACTGATTAAATACTTGCCCTCTCTGATACATTTAAATATGTACATGCTACATTATGCAGCAATAGGAAGGTAACATTGACAGACTTCCATTCCTTTTCAGGATTTTGGAAACCAACTTCAAAAGGTGGAATGCCTTATAAAAATTTTTGGTAGTGTTTCTCTAATATGATAACCTCAACACCACCAAATAGTGCCAAGGTAACACGTGCACTTGACAGTAGCAAAATGTCTGTGAGGACGTGTGTAATTTTGTACTTGGGGATGAAGTATGTACTTTGACTTCCAAAAGTGTGTAATCTTGGATGAAGTTCTTCATGCTCCATTCTACTCGATTCTGCATGTGGCCCATCTTGATGGGACTGTTGCCTGCTTTGCTTCAGGTAATTATTGTGTTCCATATTAAGATCTCCAATGTTAATTGTTTTGTGATGATGCTCTTACGAGCTTTATACGCAATGATGTGCAATATTGTACTCTGATTCAATACTTGCCCTCTCTGATAGTACTTTGAGTAAAAATATTCAATTATATACCAAGTTCCCATGTTAACCATGTCCTTCTTTTCAGATATTTGGGGTCACTTCAAAAGATACTATAAATTGCTGATGAAGTATGGATGTGGGAGGATTGAATTTTTCGAGTTGACGAAATAGTTGCAAAAGGAAAACAGTGCTCAGTATCAACATGGGAGATAAATGAGCACTAAATGCCTAGTGTTCATACAGAAACATGGAATATTTACTGAAATGATATTCTGATTGAGATTGGGAAACTGCCTATGGAGCCCATCAACATGTGTTTGGTAGCTGAATGAATGGTGAGATATTACTGCAGTTAAAAATGTTCTTGCATAAAGATAGGTCAACTTTGGTATTTTAGAAATTTCTACAACCTGAAAGAATGTCTATAGTAACATGTCATATCTTAGGAATGTTTTTTAAATAATGCTTTGGTACAACTTGAAATTGCATTTGATGTTATTGCCTTAAACTGACTGCCATTTAGTTCAGATAGGATTAAAAAAGATCTGTGTCCATTGAGGAAACCACTGTAGCCAATCACTTGAGTATCAACAACCAAATATAACAGCCACACACAAAGCTACAGAATTGTGGCCATAAAGTTCGGGTCATTCGAGATCATGTTGTACAATACTTTAGAAAATGCCATTGCAATTCTTTCCATTGCCTAATTACCTTTCCATCTTTGTGTACCCATCTTGCAATGTTATCTTGTCTTACCCTTGCCTTATATCCTATCTGGTGCATTAATAGTTCAAATTCCATCTAGGATTAACAGCTCGGTAGGGTTATTTGTCAGAAAAAATTGCCACAAACGAACTTGTGTTAAGTTTTACTATATTCCAAGTACAGTACAAGCTGTGAAGCATTTATAAAATAAAAATTAGTTTTTAGTAATACTTATTGAATGTTCTTTTGTGCCCATATGTAGGTATTTCTCTGGACCATTTTCATATATTGGACTAGGGGGTCCTGGACCACCCCAAGTTTTAATTTTTCCACCCCTTTCCAACTCCCTCTTGTACCAGCTTGAGAAATATTCAAGGGTAGCAAACTGAAATATTTGTTTGACAAGTACTCCTTTACAGTATTTACAATAAATAGCACAAGAATGCTCCTAGGTGCTCAGTCTTGTACAATCTCCCTTGTGGTGTCTAAACTAGGCTATGGCGGCCCTGTCAATTCCTCTGCTTTGCTACTGACCCTTAATGTATTGCATCATTCCAGAGATTATTCCTCGCTTCTGCTCTTCAATTATCCTCCATCCAGATGTAAAGTGTTAAACCAGTGTCCTATCACTGTGATAGGAAACCAGTGTCCCATCACAATATCACAATCAGCAACCCCTTCAGTATTTAGCTTGGTCCCTACAGTATCTCTTTCTGCTTGTGCAGTACTGCATCTGGTTGTGTACACCTCATATTAGGACGTTTCTTAAAGTTTCTCCTGCCATTCACACTGCTGTTGACAAAATTCTTATTTGTATATTTAATGATGAATAATCCTCTTGGTCCGTGTTTATGAGCAAGCTGATTCTATTAAGAGGTCTGATTTCTGATGTTAATGAACTAGCTTAGTGCATAGTTGTGATTAGTGATGTAATGTATTTTCTTCTTGCAGGGACCATGATTTGCTTTGAAGTAATGGAAGCCTTCAAAATGCAATTTTCAACTGGTATGTTTTTTTGTGAAATTTAAGTGTTTATTAGTCATGATGAAAATCTAGTTTTTATGATTGGTAATGAAATTTACCCAGCTCTCTGAAGTAGTTTTAGGTATGAATAATTTAGTGTAACATGATACTTTTGCTGACAAGCCAAATGGTTTCAGTTGTCAGTGAGGCCTGTGTTCCTGATGGTGATGCTTCATGCATATTGGGCATTCTGAATTTGAAGGCGATTTGTAAAGTGAGTATTAATTTGTTTTATCTCTAATAAAAATGATTTCATGATGTAAAACTAGTTCTTATGGTATGATCGATCCTGAAATATACCCCAGCTCTCTGAAATATTTTTATATGTAAAATAAATTGCTATTTCATTTACCTTTTTACTAATGTGTAAATTTTTCAGTTGTAAATGGTGCTGCACTCCTCAGTGAAGGTGGTGGTTCAGGGCAGATTGAGCATTTTGAATTTGTAGATGTAAAGTGAGTATACGGAAATATTTGTAATGGTAAATAGATGGGTAGAATGGACTGAACTTTTTGGGTATCTGTTGTTGTGTTGACAGTAAGGGAAAAGTCAAACGTGTAGCTTGCACCGTGGCAAGGGGGAATAATAAATGGGCCGGAAAGGCAGTTCCATACAAAGTCCACTCTCGTAACATCAGAGAGCACCTTTAATTTCTAAATCCTATCACTAATAATTACTAGGGGATGAGTGTGTGTATTTGTTTTTCCAATGTTTACAAATTAGTCTGCAGTTGTCACTTGGATGGGAGGAGTATCCTTTGTTCATATGCTTATCTATTGTTGATTCATCTCCATCTCTGATAATTGTAGAATGCCACAAGGAGAATTAATCCAAAAGAATCCTGTTTTGTCGGCCCTCAAAGATTTTTACAAGTTTGGTCATCAGTTTGGCCAAATAACGATGTATTTGTGTGTATCACAACAGCCGCTTTCATAGTTTAATTTAATGCTGTTAAGTGTTGACACAGGCTAGTAGAAGACGACTTGGTTAACTTCCATTAGCATTTACAATGGGTTCTATAGGCAACAGCAAATGTGTAGTTTTGCTATATGGCTTTGATCCCCCTCATTATGGAAGCTCCAAAAATGAAGGTGGAGTTTGGTCTGTTGCTATGAAATGAAACTTTGCATTTGACTTGTCAGCAGTTCTTTGCACATAATTTTACCTACTGTAGCTGGTATAGGAATTTTAAATTTTATTTTTCAAATCTTGAACATAGTTTGGCAAATATTTGATTTAAGATATTTGCAATCTCATGACTTATTTTGTATATAAAAGACAAACTATTGACCGAGAGGTGGACAAATTGTGGTTGTAAATGTCGGTTAACATGACACATTATTAACAGAGTAGGATGTATAGTTAATCAGAATCTCTATTGTGTTAATCTCTATCTTAAATAGTGTAAGTTTATCAAATTATATTTACCAGCAATTGATTCTTATTCTTCTATAGTTACAAAAAGTGGTATTTAACTTATTGTATTCAGCATACATTGTTAAAATATTGACTTTCTCTGCTAGGCTACTAGCAAGTAATGCGTTCAAGGGTAATTACCAGGAGAAAGTTCAAAACCAATATATCTACAAAGCACTTGGGAGGGATGCAAGGATAAGTATTTAGGATAGGACAAAGGAAAGGAATGGTGCATTCAAATTTGCACAAATTGGTGAGTGAATTACTCGTGGGAAAAAAACCTGTTTTGCTCCAAACAGCTCTATTCAACCCCAGGCGATTGGCCCATATGTGCCTAAATGGGATACTACTTATGGTACCCCATTTTTTTTATAGCTCCACCCAATCAAGTGGGATTGGATTTGACCTCTAAAACATTAGGTATGTTCAGAAAAAATCCTGTATTTTCTTCCTTCAAGAGCCTTTGTAAAACTATGGTGACATTGTCTGGCACATGACCATCCAGTATGTTAATGTGCTTACCATGCTAGGAACCCAGCCCATCCTCTGAATATGGGGAGGTAAATGTAACAGCACAAGTGTAATTATGTACTATTCCTGGCAGTCAGGAATTGTTCTTAATTTTCACTTAGTATTAAGCCCGAATGTCAAGTATATTGTGAATATTTGAATTTACCTGAAAAGCTGAATAGAAAACTACGACATAATCTAACCTTCTTAGTATTAGGACAAGCATTTCATTGCTTCTTAATTACAATTATTACTTAACCTATAGCTATATTGATATTAGTTTTATAAAATTAAAACTTAAATCTTTAAATAAATTGTAAAGTAACTCGGATATTTTAAAATTTTGTATAAAATCTCTATTTAATAAAACTGAAAAAGAAATTCCTGATATATAAAACTTGTGTATAGAGAACTGAACTTGAAAACTTCATCCTAAAAGTTGAGTGTCTTAACAGAAAACGAGGAGAATAAATGGGGGGAGGTAAATGTAACAGCACAAGTGTAATTATGTATTATTCCTAACAGTCAGGAAATGAACTTATTACACTTGGTATTAAAGCGTCCTGTCAATTCGGAGGATGGGTTGCAGGAACCAGAACAGTGTTAACCAAACCAGAACAATATATGAAACTGAGGCAGCTTTCATGAAATAGGCATTTCTTTGTGCCCATGTCAAAACTTGTACAGAAAAGTGTGTGTGATTTTAAAGGTTGTTAATAATTGCATCAGATTTTAAAATGGAACAGTTACCTGATAAAGTTGCCTGGTTCTTCATTTTACACCACATAGAATACACATTTTCATTTTGCTGCTTTATATATGGTCATTACATTTATTAATTTGAGCTTAAATAGGTCTAGCTTGCATAAATTGTATTACTTTGCATGTAATGTACAACCTTTCAAGTCCTAAAAGGTATACAGTCATATTGGTTAATGTATTTATAATTTTAGAGGTTGCCATGCTTAAATGTATTGAATATGTAATTTATTCCAGAGTAATTTTGTGATGAAACTTTTTAGAGCATTGGGTTATGAAAACCAATGATTATCCATCTTGACACCTGATCATTAAATAAAGCAAGACAATTTTAATGGGGTGAATTTCATTAACAACATTTTACTTCAACAGGAGTGGCAAGTTTCTGCACGAGGGACACCATTATGAAAGCTTAACAGTGCATCAGTTTCTTCAGTAAAGGTGATTATTACTCTAAAATAGAGGCTTTTAGCACAAGGCTTATCATGATGATGCTCTTCAAAGAGCTTAATACGCAAATATGTAATAACTGATTAAATACTTGCCCTCTCTGATACATTTAAATATGTACATGCTACATTATGCAGCAATAGGAAGGTAACGTTGATGGACTTTCTATTTTTCAGGACTTTGGACACCAACTTCAAAAGCTGCAAAGCCATGTGAAATTTGTGCACTATGCAGCAACTATCGACAACAACACCAAATAGTACCTAGATGCACTCAACACAGTAGCAAAATCTCAGTGTACACGCATGTGATTAGTCCTAAGTGTGTGCTTTGGGATGAAGTGTATACTTCCACTTCCAAAAGTGTGTACTTTTGGATGAAGTTCTTCATACTCCATTCTGCATGATTCTGTATGTTGTTCATCTTCATGGGGCTGTTGCTTGCCTTACTTCAGGTGATTATTTTGTTACATATTAAGATATCTAAATGTTAAAATTTTGTGATGACGCTCTTTACGAGCTTTATACGCAATGATGTGCAATATTGTACTCTGATTCAATACTTGCCCTCTCTGATACTACTTTGAGTAAAATTATTCAATGATATACTAAGTTCCCATTTTAACAATTTATATCTTTTCAGATATATGTGGTTACTGCAAAAGATACTGTAAATTGCTCATGAAGTATGGATGTGGTCGAATCAAAGATGCGAGTTGACGAAATAGTTGCAAATAAAAATGTTCAGTGCTCGGTATATCAACATTGGAGATGAATTAACCCCAATTGCCTTGTGTTCATGAAGGAACATTTAAATATTTTCTCTACTGAAATGATATTCTGATCCAGATCTGCAAACTGCCTATGGAGCTTCAACATGTGTTGGGTGGTAGCTGAATGAATGGTGAGATATTGCAGTTAAAAATGTTCTAGCATAAAGATAGTCAACTTTGGTACTTTAGAACCAAATATACACAATCTGAAAGAATGTGTATATTAAGATACCATATCTTAGCAATACTTTTATAGAATTCTTGGGTTACAATTTGAAATTGCATTTCATGTTGTTGCCTAATTCTTTCCATGTATTGCATAATTACTTTCCCATCCATGTGTACCCATCTTGCCATGTTTGTCTTGCCCCTTACCTTGTATTGTAACGACTGGTGCATGAATAGTTCAAGGTTCATTTAGAAATGCAACTGCCTAAGTTATCTATTTGGTGATTTCCCATTTTGGGTGTCAATGTACTTCTTGAATTTCAGCATCAGCACTTTTATCCTCCTGTCCCATGTTGTGACCGTGTTATATTCTTTTGGTTAATATGTTCATTTGGTCTCTTCATGATCGCAAAGTGGCATAAAGGCTGGGTCAGTTCAGTCTTGCTGATGTGCTATCGGGTGTGCAGTAACGGGTAACACTTCCGCCACTTCCCACACTTGCGGGTGGGCTGCGATCATGATTTGACGTTTATATGCATATGTTCGCGTAGGGAATTTTATTGCGATCTCGGTGATAGCAAATTTAATGCTGTAGGACAAAGGTGGAGTTGACAACCCTAAAAAGAATAAACATTTCGTCACTGGTGCTCACAGCAAGTGATCGACGTAGTTTATTTGGTGCTGGTCTAACTCCTGCTTTGGTGACATTTTATATGTATGTTCTCTAGAACATTCTATTGCGAACGTATTGCTACAAAATTGAAATGTGTACATCGAAAATTAAGGTTAGGACAGTGAAGAGAGTATACACTTTTCGGTGTTGCAGCTCAATCGCCCGAAACGCCTTGCGCACTTGGCAAGTTTTTTTCTTGCTTGCCGGGAGTCCGAAAGTGTTAAAACATCGTCAAAAATCTATTTCTGAGAATATTGGGATTAAACTTTCACGACTAAAGGCAATAAGTTTGACATTTGTAATTTTCACATAAGTATTTTTTGTTGCCTGGCCCCTATTCATGTGGCTCAGATTTGCTCCTTCAGGCTTCCAGTAAACAATCCCTCCCATCTATAAAAAAAAAATCCTTGGTCTCCTGGTGTTCTAGGGCCTTGGTAAAAAAGGTGACCACATTTGTCATGACCACACTTCATTTTCATGTCACGATATACAAGGCAGTCATACGTGGGCTGCTGTTAAGTTCAGCAGCCCACGTATGACTGCCTTGTATATCGTGACATGAAAATGAAGTGTGGTCATGACAGATGTGGTCACCTTTTTTACCAAGGCCCTAGAACACCAGGAGACCAAAGATTTTTTTTTTATAGATGGGAGGGATTGTTTACTGGAAGCCTGAAGGAGCAAATCTGAGCCACATGAATAGGGGCCAGGCAACAAAAAAATGAGTGATTACCATGCTTATTTGCAGGAAAAATGTCTGCTGTGATATTAACACCCTCACTTTCATATTAACAAAAAATATAAATTTGGCCTGCTTTCAGCTTGGCTGTGGGTAGGGTGCACCCCAGTTTTGGACATTATATGCATATACTCTTGTAGGGAATTTTATTGCGAACACTTGATACAAAAATGAAATACCTAGGATGAGAATTAAGGTGACAAAACTTGAAAAGAGTATACAATTTTCAGTATAACTGCGCACTCCTGTGAAATGCCAGGCGCACCTTGGGTTGGTGAGAAAGTTAAAAGATTTAGGCTTCCACATGTTTATTGATATGAGCAAATGCCTGGTCAATGACCAGGCCTCCTTTACAGTATTTACAATAAATAGCACAAGAATGCTCCTAGGTGCTCAGTCATATACAATCTCCCTTGTGGTGTCTAAATTAGGCTATGGCGGCCCTGTCTATTCCTCTGCTTTGCTACTGACCCTTAATGTATTGCATCATTCTAGAGATTATTCCTTAGAACAAAAGTAGTGTAGTGTAGATTATTCCTAGCTTCTGGTGCTCTTCAATTATCCTCTATCCAGAGGGAAAGTGTTAAACCAGTGTCCTATCACAATACCACAATCGGCAACCCCTTCAGTATTTAGCTTGGTCCCTATAGTACCCCTTATTTCTATTTGTGCAGTACTGCATCTGATTCTGTACATCTCATGTTAGGAAGTTTCTTCAAAAGTTTCTCCTGACATTCACACTGTTGCTGACATAATTCTTATATTTGTATATTTAATGATGAATAATCCTCTTGGTCCGTGTTTATGAGCAAGCTGATTCTATTAAGAGGTCTGATTTCTGATGTTAATGAACTAGCTTAGTGAATAGTTGTGATTAGTGATGTAATGTATTTTCTTCTTGCAGGGACCATGATTTGCTTCAAGTAATGGAAGCCTTCAAAATGCAATTTTCAAATTGTAAGTGTTTTTCTTTTGAAATGTTTAATGTTTATAAATCATGATGGAAAACTAGTTTTTATGATTGGTAATGAAATTTACCCAGCTCTCTGAAGTAGTTTTAGATATGAATAAATTAATGTAACATGATAATTTTGCTGACAAGCCAAATGGTTTCAGTTGTCAGTGAGGCCTGTGTTCCTGATGGTGAAGGTGATGCTTCATGCATATTGGGCATTCTGAATTTGAGGGTGATTTGTAAAGTGAGTATTCATGTGTGTTTATCTCTGATAACAAAAATTATTTCATGATGTAAAACTAGTTCTTACGGTATGATCGATCCTGAAATGTACCCCAGCTCTCTGAAATATTTTTATATAAAATAAATTGGTATTGCATTTACCTTTTTACTAATGTGTAAATTTTTCAGTTGTCTTAAATGGCGCTGCACAAATGGTGCTGCACTCCTAAGTGAAGGTGGTGGTTCTGAGCAGATTGTGCATTCTGAATTTGAAGATGTAAAGTGAGTATACGTGAATATTTGTAATGGTAAAGGTTCAGTGCAGCTAATTAAATAGATGGGCAGAATGGACTGAACTTACTGGGTATGGGTGGTTGTGTTGACAGTAAGGGAAAACTGTGAAAGTGAAAGCCATTATCACTATATAGCACTTAGGAGGGATGCGAGGATAGGATGAAAGACGAATGGTGCACTCAAATTATTTACACAAATTTGCAAGTTACTCTTTAAAAAAAGAACATTGCCTGTTTAGCTATTAAGCAGCTCTATCTCCAGGCGATTGGACTCGTAAATGGGGTACCAATTACGGTACAGTACCTGCATTTTTTTAATAGTAACCTCCCCCCAAATGAATGGGAATTGGGTTTGACATGTTAAGGATTCAGTGTATTTAGAAAAAAATCCTGCCTTGGCTTAAGGGCCTTGGTTAAAATATGGTGCAGATGAGGAGTCACAATAACGTGGCTGAAATATGTTGACCAAACCACACTAGAAAGTGAGGGAACGACGACGTTTTGGTCCGTCCTGGACCATTCTCAAGTAGATTGTGAATAGCCATGATCGACTTAAGAATGGTCCAGGACGGACCGAAACGTTGTCATCCCTTCACTTTCTATGGTGTGTGGTTTGGTCAACAAAAATATGGTGGCCATGTCTGGCACATGACCACCCAGTGTGTGAATGTGCGTACCTTGCTAGGAACCAGAATATAATATGAAAATAAGGTAGATTTTTATTTTTGTGCTTGTCAAAACTAGTACAGAAAATGGCATGTGTGATTTTAAGGGTTAATAATGGTTGCCTCAGATTATAAAATGGAACATTTACTTAATAAAGTTGCCTGGTTCATCATTTTACCTCATAGAATAGACATTTTCCATTTGCTGCTTTATATAGTCATTGCATTTATTAATTTAAACTCCAATGTGTCTAGCTTTCATAGATTGCATCACTGCATGTAATGTACAACCTTTCAAGTCTGGAAAGGTATATACAATCATTTGTTAGCATCTTCATAATTCTAGAGGTTACTATGGACATGTGAATAGTTTACATATGTAGTGAATATGTAACTTTATTCATGAGTAATTTTGTGATGAAACTTTTTAGAGCATTGGGTTATGAAAACCAATGATTATCCATCTTGACACCTGATCATTAAATAAAGCAAGACACTTTTTGTGGAGTGAATTTCATTAACAATATTTTACCTCAACAGGAGTGGCAAATTTCTACACGAGGTGACACCATTATGAAAGCTTAACAACGCATAAGTTTCTTCAGTAAAGGTGATTATTACTCTAAAATAGACTTTGTAGTACAAAGTTTTATCATGATGATGCTCTTCATAGAGCTTAATACGCAAATATGTAATAACTGATTAAATACTTGCCCTCTCTGATAACATTTAAATATGTACATCTTCATGGGGCTGTTGCTTGCCTTACTTCAGGTGATTATTTTGTTAAATATTAAGATATCTAAATGCTAAAATTTTGTGATGACGCTCTTTACGAGCTTTATACGCAATGATGTGCAATATTGTACAGTACTCTGATTCAATACTTGCCCTCTCTGATAGTATTTAGAGTAAGAAGTATATTTAGTGATATACTAAATTCCAATTTTCACAATTTCTTTTCTTGCAGATTCTTGGGGTTCTCACAAAAGAGTTAACTGCATTTGGCCTGGATGTGCTTGTATTGAAATTTTCGAGTCGACGACTGAATTGTAAAGCAAAAATCTCAATGCTTGGTACATCAGCATGGGAGATAAAATATCACCGAGTTGCCAAGTGTCCATCCAACAGTGATATTCTCTCAAGAGATCTGCATACTGCCTATGGAGCAACATCAAAATGTTTGGTGGTAGCTGAATGCATGGTGAGATTTTGCTGTAGTTAAATGTTTTAGCATGAAGATGGGTCAACTTTGGCATTTTTATATTAATTCCTACAGCCTGAAAGAATACCCATGTTAATGTACCGTATCTTAGACTGTTTATTAGAATAAATGATGAATTCATGTTATTGTCTAATGCTTTGTGTATTGCAAAGTTACTTCCCTATCCTTGTTTACCTAGCTTTGGTACCTTTGCCTTCCATCCTAACTAGTTTGGTGCATGAATAGTTGAAGCTCTGTCTAGAAATGAAATTTGACTGCCTAGACTCGTTAATTGGCAATGTCCCAGTTTGTCTGGATGAAAATATTTAATTCAGCATCAGCACTCGTATTGAATTCTGTTGCAACTCCAAGGCTATTCTGTTTTTCTAGTTAATACATTCACCTGGTTTGAAGAAAACTGCATCTTGTATTGGGCACCTGTGCAAGAGATGGAACTTTCATAAAATGTTGACCCTGCCTTTTTTCGGTTACCTTCAGCAGGTTTCGGGAGTTCTTCTTCTTCCCGAGCCTGGTGATAACTTGGTCTTGTGGTAACTTTGTCCAGCAGACTGTTGCTTCAGTGGCCCACAGGTCCACATATCCACAACTGGTTTAGTCTGGCACTTCTTGCAAGAACTGTCCAAGTGCTTCTGTTAATACATCCATCTTCGTTCGGGCATTATTTTTAATGTTTGCTGGGAGGGTGTTGAACAGGTGTGTACCCCTGGTGTTCAGTGTGTGCTCTCTGATTATGCCTATGGCACCTCTACTCACAAGTTTTATTCTGCTGTTGTGTTCATTATATTCAAATGGGCCATTGTTGACCTGAAGAATAGAGCTCGTATTTCCTTCCCTATGGAAGGTGCAAGGTCCAGACCCTTTTTCAAATGTGTGGAACCTCTGGTTCCTTCCAGGTTTTTAATTGAAAGTTCTGGAATCACTTAAGGTCCAGATCCTAAGGTCTAGCAGCATACCTTCTTTTGCTCTCTTCTGATGCTGGGAGTATATTTCTGGGCCCTGCTTTTTTCTCTAGTTTTTCCTTGTAAGTGTTCTAGTAGGGTTCTGCTTTGTGCTTACCAATAAATTACTGATTAAGGTTGGGGAAAGGTGTAGGGAAAGAGTGGGTGTGTGAGGATGGGGAATGCTCATACATTAGCTTGGTTTGCACATGTACTCTAGCCAAGCTCAAGTATATTTCTGGGCCCTGCAAGGGTTATAAATTTCTCGAAAAAATCGTCATAAAGAGTGCACAAATGTGTAGATAATAATTTATGGGTATACAGTGTAATAACAACACTTCTATTGCCTAAAGAATACAATATACTCATAGTTCCACAATTGTTTGGGTGTATTAGTGTTCTGCACAATATACAAAATAATTATTTTGTATTTGATTTCAATCACTGTGGTTGCTGAAATCCAATGTTGGCTGTTTCTTATCTTTAGCAGAGTAAAGAAGGGTCAAGTTTGTATGGTAATCCATCTGTACATCTAATCTTTGTTGCTGCTATTAATGTGTGTTGATCTGTTTTTTTTTATATTTTACGGTAGAAGATACACACGCTCACACATGCATATTATTTTGTATTATTTATTTGTATGGTATTTTGTATTTGATATATCGAGGAGGAAGCTGTGCGCGCATGCACACGCACACGTACGTTATGAAGAACCTATAGAACAATGCATACATGTCAAGTGTTGTGGCTGTGTGCAAAGGTCATTGTAAAGTTGGTTGACATACATTTTGACAATACAAGCCTTTGGGAGTAGAACTGAAACACTTTTAAGTCTCCCTAGAAGATGGCGTGGTTGAGAATGTTTAATGTATTATTTGATAACTGCACTCATTATGTAAAGGGTTAAATATTTTAATATGTAACCTTTCGGTATATTCCCTTGTCTCTAGGCTGATGGTTACCCCATCTTGAAGGTGGAGAAACTGTAATGTTGACAACCATTGGCCGGCATCCATCTGAAGCGAGGCTCTTATCATCCATCCATCCATCCATCCATAGTGAGGCTCTACCAGCGAGGCTCTACCACTAAGGAGCTTTAATGGTGTTCAGTCTTCAAGTGTCCTCGTACTCGTCTTTGTCAAGTTTTCACTGGTCTCCTGGACTTTGGTAAGTAGTAGACTGACTGACGTAATTATTATCTTTGTATATTTAATGATGAATTATCCTCTTGGTCCGTGTTTATGAGCAAGCTGATTCTATTAAGAGGTCTGATTTGTTGTTAATGAACTATCTTAGTGAATAGTTATGATTAGTGACATAATGTATTTTCTTCTTGCAGGGGCCATGATTTGCTTCAAGTAATGGAAGCCTTAAAAAGGCAATTTTCAAATGGTATGTGTGTTTCTGTTTGAAATGTTTAGTGTTTATAAATCATGATGGAAAACTAGTTTTTATGATTGGTAATGAAATTTACCCAGCTCTCTGAAGTAGTTTGATGTTTGAATAAATTAGTGTAATACGATTGTTTTGCTGACGAGCCATATGATTTCAGTTGTGAGTGAGGCCTGTGTTCCTGATAGTGAAGGTGGTGTTTCATGCGGACTGGGCATTCTGAATTTGAAGTTGATGTGTAAAGTGAGTATTCATTTGTTTTTATCTCTAATAACAAAAATTATTTCATGATGCAAAACTAGTTCTTATGGTATGATCGATCCTGAAATATACCCCAGCTCTCTGAAAAAATTTTATATGTAAAATAAATTATTGCATTTATCTCTTTACTAATGTGTAAATTTTTCAGATGTCATAAATGGTGCTGCATTCTTCAAAGTGAAGGTGGTGGTTCTGAGCAGATTAAGCATTCTGAATTTGAAGATAAAAAGTGAGTATACGTGAATATTTGTAATGGTAAAAGTCCTGTGCAGCTAGTGAAGTAGATGGATAGAGTGGACGGAACTTGCTGGGAATGGGTTGTCGCGTTGGCAACCCATACCCAGTAAGGAAAGGTTGTAAGGAAATAGAAATAGTAAAGAAAGCCAAGTAAAACGTGTAGCCTGCACCGTGGCAAGGGGGAACAGTAAATGGGCCAGAAAGACAGTTTATACAAAGTCCACTCTTCCTTGTAACATCAGAGAGCCCCTTTAATTTCTAAATCTCCATTGATGATGGCAAGTTAGATTATTTTGCACAGTGACAGTGACTCACTCACCATGCCATACCATAATCATGTTTAGTAAAGATCAAAGCTGTTGCTAATATTTTGAACTAACGATTCCTATACTCAAATAATAAGGATAATTTGCTTCCAAAACTATGATGAAACTTTACAGAGCATTGGGTTATGAAGACCAATGATTATCATCATGACACCTGATCATATTAATGGAACAAAATAGGTAGTTGTTTACTTTTTGTACTGTATCTCAACAATGTCCAATTTATACAGGAAGCCAAATTCATGAGGAAGGTCTTCATGAGGCATTCTACAATTTCAGTAATGGTAACTATTTTGTATTGCTACCTTGTATATCTAATTGTTTATTCAAACTTTCAAAATGTTTCTTCTAGATCTTGAGATTTTTCTAAAACATTCTATTTTCTCCATTTCATTATTTTCAAGCACATCCAACGGCAACTCCTTCATTTCCTTAGAACTGGTGTAGCAAGTTCTGTATATCTAGCAACTAGTGCACAATTGTATTTAATTAAATTTAATTGTATTCCAAACTGACCATGCTTGATTTTATGTTGGTACTGGTTTTTTCATCTACCAAATATAGGAATTAAAATTGGGCATTTTTTCTTTAGTATTATTAGCTTTGTCACTTGGAGAATTGGCCTGTCTAGACTGTCCTTAGTTTGGTACCTTAAGTGTTACATTTTTTTAAAATTCTTAGTTAATATTTCAGTTTTTGTGAAATTGGTCAGTATAGTATCTTCATAATTTTAGAGGTTAACATGCTTAAATGTATTGAATAAGTAATTTTATTTGAGAGTAATTTTGTGATGAAACTTTTTAGAGCATTGGGTTATGAAACCAATGATTATCCATCTTGACACCTGATTATTTGATCAGGTGTCAATCAAGACATTTTTTGTGGGTTGATTATTAACAATATTTTACTCAACAGGAGTGGCAGATTTCTGTACGAGGGACACCATTATGAAAGCTTAACAATGCGTCAGTATCTGTTAAGGTGATTATTATTCTAAAATAGAGGATTTTTAGCACAAAGTTTTCTATCATGATGATGCTCTTCAAAGAGCTTTATACGCAATGATGTAATAACTGATTAAATACTTGCCCTCTCTGATACATGTTTAAATATGTTGTACTGTATATTGTAGTACATGCAATAGAAAATTTACCGATTAACTTATATTTTTAGGTTTTTGGAAAGCTTCAATGTCTCATGAAGTTTGTTGCTCCTGTTACTGAGTAACTAATAGCTTCAACACCACCCAGTAGTGATAGGATAAGTGGCTCAACAGAAAAATGTCTGTGCAGATGTGTGATATTAGAGCCTTTACTGTGTTCTGTTGGATGAATTTGTAAAAGCATTAATGGCTTCTGTATATGGCAGAGCCGCTGCTTCACGTTGCAGTGGTTATTGCCAGCTTTACTTCAGGTGATTATTGTATTCAATATGTAGAAGCTGCTGTGATGTTTTTGGGCTTTATGTGCAAAGATGTTCAGTATCATGCTCCAGTTTAATATGCCCCCTCTGATTGTAATTACAATAAAAGGCATATTCAGTGATGCAATACTAAATTCCCATTTTTAAAATTTTTGAATTGACAACTGAATTCCAAAGCTTTCTCTGTCTAATAATAAATTGGCAATAAATGCCAAGCATCCATGGAATCCATCCATGGAACATCTATTATGGAACTTACTACAGAAGTGACGTTATGATTTTAAATGTGTCGCGTGCCACTCTTGGTTGTGGAACATGGGGTATCTTAGTTTTGATAAATTTCATTAGTGTTATATACTGTGTTTGTTATATTTGATGTTAACTTAGTAAAGCCTTTCTGTAACTTGTAAGAATACCAATATTGACTTGTTGTAGTTAGTTTATCTTAAATAAAGTTGTGGTCTGAATTTGAAGCTGCTATATTGCCTAATGGTTTTCATATATATATTGCATAACTTCAGTTTTCCATTCTCCCTATGCCTGCCTCACACTTTCTTGGCCATTTTGTATGTTTTCTTTCCTAGCAAAATGTTACATATTGGTTACTGGGAAGTCTATCTAGTTTAATGTTGAGGATTTCAGACTTGAGAATCAAGATAAGGTGTTAGGTTGGATTATACTCTCCTCAACCTTCCAAACCGTAACATTATAATGATATCAAAGGAAAGAATTAGAGATCGCCATACACTAAAAGAAATTGTGTACAAACTGTGGAAAAAGTAACACTCCAGATATTAAAACATAATATAGCAATTTAAAATGCTCTTGAACAATGCAACTCCTTGTAGGAGTAATTGTGTAGCCTGTTGGTTCACTTGAAGCTGCTTGCTGCCTTGCTTAAAGTTATTGCTCACATCATATGGAATGTTCCCGTTCCCTTTCTTTTTGTAATTGATTCATTCCACCACTGCTCTTGCCCTTGAGTAATACTTCCTGGTGAGGTGATACATTAATGGTCCTCTATTTGCACTTTTCTGTTGTCTAAAATGAATTATGGTTGCCTGCCTCTCCTTTGGTCCTTCACTGTCTATGCTCTTATGATGGGTTGCACCTCTGCTCTTTATATGCCTTTTGTCCTTTCTATCCAGAGCTTGTAAGTTAAAGTAGACGTCTCGTCGCTTTAACAACTACGGAATATAGTGAATGGAATAGTCAATGAGGAAATTTTGAATGATTAATGATTAAGTACAAAGTAAGAGTTGAAAGATAAAGGTAGGTCTACCATAATCTATTCAGAAGTTTACTAGTCTAGGAATGCAACGTCTAATAATACTTGATAATTATATTCCCTTGACCTCTCATATCTGATTCTGAATTAGTCACCACTCTAGAGATTTAGCTAACATGGCTAACTGCCCTTAGAAATTTCACATATATTCTGCTGTTCCTGAATTATCGCCTTAAAATCAAAACCCCCTTCAGAGTATAGTCTTGCGTGAGGGGGAGGGGGCTCACGACTCCCTAGGGCCGGTAAGGGGTTTCTTTTGGGGGGCCCTAACACCCCTCCCCCTCTGGGTGTAGTACATTCTAAGGTTCCCACCTGTCAACCCGTCCTCTACTCATTATAGTAGTAGTAGAGCAGTTGACTATTACATTATAGTAAGTCAACCCGTCCTCTCACAAGTACATTACATCCAGCGGTCGACCGCCCCACATTCATGAATTTTTACATGCTTTTCATTCAAAACGGGAATGCTATCAAATATAAATTATAATAATATTTAAGCATATTGTGCATATATAGGTTAGGTGTTTAGGTTCTGTTGGTGATTGTTTGTAGTACGTGGGTGAAGCATTTATAGCGTTGTGGTTTGAACAAAATTCGTCAATGGAGCACATGTTCAGGAAGTATTCGAACGAAATCAGTTAAGTCGTGTGTAAACATTTTTTCTCTCATAAAAAGTCTGCGGATGGTGTTGGCTACTGTTTTTCCTGATCGCACTTGTCTCTTACCTCTGGAGACTAGCAGCTTTATGCTATTCTATGCTCTTCGTCTCCTGCTTTCTCGTTATCAGTCTTCCTTTGTAGTTGTTGACTCGTAGTGCCCTCAGTAGTTGTCGAGATCCAGCATTGGCTGTTTCTTGTTCATAGTAAATTTGTTTGAGTTTTATTGGGTTCCCAGCCATATTGGTGTCTTTTAATAGCGTGCGGATGCTGCCGTCAAGGAAGCTGTCTGCTCTTGTCCCATCTCGTAACGGTATTCCATATTATGATAAATCTTGCCAGGGAGTACAATACAATATAGTGCTATACAATATTATAATACCAGGAAATCTTTAAGTAATACAAGTCCTACAGAAGGAATAGAAAAACTGACTTCGGAAGCGTATCAAGTCTGAAACATGTTCCTTTGAGGAAAGCCAGAAAGAGATCCAACGTAGAAAGAGAACGCAGACGACAGTATAAACGCAGGAAAACAAAATAACGGAACTGCTTATGCAGACACGAATTTCCCGTCAAAGAAGGAATAATTTAAATAGCGAGATTGAAGAAATAGAGCGGAAATTGAAACTCATATGAGACTGAAGAAAGGCAGTTTGAACAGAAAGCAATTCTGGAAATAAAGTAAAATCCAAAATACAATTCAGGAAATAAAGTAAATTCAAAAATACTTCACATATGCGAAATCAAAAGCAAAAACCACTGCCAGTATTTGACCTATTCGTACAAGTGAAGGTCCATACACGGAAGATGACAAAGAAATTAGTGAAATCTTAAAAAAAGTAGGATGACATGTTTAGCACTCTAATAAACAACATGAAAGTGGAAGATCCAGACAATTTCTTTATGCGGGATATTCAAACAACTGTAAATATAACTGATATCAACACGAGCGCACTAAATTTTGAAAGAGAAATTGAAAACGTGCCCATGCACTCGGCCCCAGGTCCAGACTCGTGGAATTTAATATTTATAAAAGAAATGCAAAGTGCCGGTAGCACAGGCACTCAGTATAGTGTGGAGGAAGAGCTTGGACACGGGGGAGATACCAGATGCACTTAAAGTAGCAGACATAGCCCCTCTACACAAGGGAGGGAGCAAAGCATTGGCAAAGAATTATAAACCCGTTGCACAAACATCGCACATAATAAAAGTATTTGAGAGACTGATTAGGAGTCAGGTCACCAATTTCATGGAGACCAATGACCTTCACAACCCAGGCCAACATGGATTTCGAGCGGGAAGATCGTGCCTCTCACAGCTACTTGAGCACTACGACAAAGTAACTGAGGCATTAGAGGAAAAACTGAATGCTGATGTGATATACACGGACTTCGCAAAGGCTTTCGATAAATGTGACCATGGCGTGATAGCACACAAAATGAAGTCAATGGGAATAACCGGTAAAGTGGACGCTGGATACTCAGTTTTCTGTCAAACAGGACTGCGAGTAACAGTCAACCATATAAAATCTAGTCATTAGGCAAATCGGGCCTTGCATAGTAGGCTGAGAAGTGCGTTCTGGCTACTAGGTACGACATATATATATATATATATATATATATATATATATATATATATATATATATATATATATATATATATATATATATATATATGTCGTACCTAATAGCCAGAACGCACTTCTCAGCCTACTATTCAAGGCCCGATTTGCCTAATAAGCCAAGTTTTCATGAATTAATGTTTTTTCGTCTACCTAACCTACCTAACCTAACCTAACCTAGCTTTTTTTGGCTACCTAACCTAACCTTACCTATAAATATAGGTTAGGTTAGGTTAGGTAGGGTTGGTTAGGTTCGGTCATATATCTACGTTAATTTTAACTCCAATAAAAAAAAATTGACCTCATACATAGAGAAAAGGGTTGCTTTATCATTTCATGAGAAAAAAATTATAGTAAATATATTAATTCAGGAAAACTTGGCTTATTAGGCAAATCGGGCCTTGAATAGTAGGCTGAGAAGTGAGTTCTGGCTACTAGGTACGACATATATATATATATATATATATATATATATATATATATATATATATATATATATATATATATATATATATATATATATATATATATATATATATATATATATATATATATATATATATATATATATATATATATATATATATATATATATATATATATATATATATATATATATATATATATATATATATATATATGTCGTACCTAGTAGCCAGAACTCACTTCTCAGCCTACTATTCAAGGCCCGATTTGCCTAATAAGCCAAGTTTTCCTGAATTAATATATTTACTATAATTTTTTTCTTATGAAATGATAAAGCAACCCTTTTCTCTATGTATGAGGTCAATTTTTTTTTATTGGAGTTAAAATTAACGTAGATATATGACCGAACCTAACCAACCCTACCTAACCTAACCTAACCTATATTTATAGGTAAGGTTAGGTTAGGTAGCCAAAAAAAGCTAGGTTAGGTTAGGTTAGGTAGGTTAGGTAGACGAAAAAACATTAATTCATGAAAACTTGGCTTATTAGGCAAATCGGGCCTTGAATAGTAGGCTGAGAAGTGCGTTCTGGCTATTAGGTACGACATATATATATATATATATATATATATATATATATATATATATATATATATATATATATATGTCGTACCTAGTAGCCAGAACTCACTTCTCAGCCTACTATTCAAGGCCCGATTTGCCTAATAAGCCAAGTTTTCCTGAATTAATATATTTTCTCTAATTTTTTTTTTATCAAATGATAAAGCTACCCATTTCATTACGTATGAGGTCAATTTTTTTTATTTGAGTTAAAATTAACGTAGATATATGACCGAACCTAACCAACCCTACCTAAACTAACCTAACCTATCTTTATAGGTTAGGTTAGGTTAGGTAGCCGAAAAAGTTAGGTTAGGTTAGGTTAGGTAGGTTAGGTAGTCGAAAAACAACTAATTCATGAAAACTTGGCTTATTAGGCAAATTGGGCCTTGCATAGTAGGCATAGAAGTGCGTTCTGGCTACTAGGTACGACATATATATATATATATATATATATATATAATAACACACACACACATACATACATACACACACACACATACATATACATACATACACATTTTGGCCTGTGAAGCCCCCTGCTGAACCACACCTATATAGAATTTATATTGACGTTAATTTATATATTTCGATAGCAATTTGTAGGATGTTTAGGTGAACTGTATTTCTGCAATATTCTCACAAATCGACTCCTTACACATTAAGGGGGGTATATTAAATTTATATATATGCAGCCAATCAAACTACATATATTAATAATGAAAATTGGGAGATAAAATTGGGAAATAAAAAATTCTTATCTTATTGTATGGTAGACCTGGTCCACCAGGTATAAACAAGGATGATGACACCAAATAATCCTCGTGGTTGAGGCTAGCATCACCACGATGTACTG